GACATAGAGGCAGAATCATTTCGTGGGAATGGACGTGTATTCGTCTGCAACCATTTTGTTGAGAAGCGACACCTATGACGCTTTCGTCTTGATCAACCAGTTTCAATAATGAATCAAACCATAGCCATAGTAAAGGGAAATAACTCTCATGATATATTTCAGGTTGACACACAAAATAAAATAAAAAGATCGTGGAAAAGTACAATAAAATAATTTAAGTCGGGGGTGGTTTTAGTTAGTCGGTCGCGTTAGGCGAAACAAAGATATTTTTAAGGTCAGCCTAATCAGGAGGCCATTTTGTAGATTTCTAAGTAAAAAACGACAAAAAAAGTTAAATGTTTTATACCACTGAATAGAGAAATTCAAGATCTTTCCCAAAAATATACATTTGTAAATTTAAAGAGTTACAGGATATATTAATAATGATATGCTTCTCCTAGTCGATACCCCAAATAAATCCAAGGGTTAAGAAAAACAAAACAAATTATCCAAGGTAGCCAATCTATTGACTTGGATTTAAAGGGACAATAACACTCTTGCTGGCTTGAAAGCTCCAGAAAATAAATAATATCTCTATCTAAGTACTAGATGTTTAAGTGTCCTACCTGTTGTGTAAATTATCCATTACATCCTATTTTACTTGTCCAGAGGGTTCGAAAATATTTTTAAATTGAAGTTTCATTTGAAAAGGTTTATGTTAGACGTTTCAAACCATTATGTTGAATTTTTCAAAATTTTTAAATAAGGTGTGTTAAGATGAAATTTGTATCATCAATTAATTGGAATATTGTAAAATAGTACAATTTGTTGACCAGAATAAAGATTGGGACATATTATTCAGTTACAACAAGAGTGGTATTGAGCCTTTAATGCGATTAAAAAGTGCCTCATCAAAATATTATACCCAATATATGGGTGGCACTGTCTTCTTTATCGTGTGGATGCCAGATGTTGCAAAATTTTCAATTCATCGTATTGAATATTGAATTGAATTCAGTCTTTTTTGGACGGATATATTTTTGTTTCACCTGTAGATTGCAAGGGATTAAGAGTATTTTCACATGACAATCTGTGGTTTAAAGGTATCAAGTACATGTATATCTTTATCTCCGATTACATGTACCTCAAACAAATAATCTGATTAAACCACAGATCCTATTTCGTTTCATTTTTATAGTTCAAAATTTAGTTTTACTTGTCTTTACTACACTAGGATCGGGAAGAGTACCCGCGTTCTGGATGATGTGTTTAGCCATGCGATGCATGGAACTGTCGGTAACCCACCAGAAACATCCATGCTGATTGGTTAATCAAATGTGTGATTTCATAGGGTCAAAAGCTGCTTGTGACCCGTGACGCAATCTCCCACTACAACTGGTCAGATGCAGTAGAGACCATTGAAAGTATAAAAAACGAAACAAAATATAGATCTGTATTGTAATCAGATTGTATCATTTATACTATCAATGGTCTTGTCCGTAATACATGTATATGTTACATCATAATTATACCTGAACTTACAATATAACTTATCGTATAGATATTAGCATTCTCAAGTTCTATTTTCCCATATATATATGGGCTTTCTCTAGTGGCGTTATCAAGAAGCCTGTAAGATTAATAATGATTGAATTAAAATGATATTAATAGACGCGACAAGAAACACTGTCAGTTCAAAAAGAAATGTCAAGTTTTATTTTAAAAAAGTCGGAAAGATTAATAAAGAGATTGAATAAAAAATAAAATACACGTAGAATATTAATAGATTGACTCAACAAAGACACTGTCAGTTCAAAAAGAAATATCAGCTTTTCAAATCTTCTTATGCAATCTACTTATATTACTGTACCATATAATAATATAAAGTTTTATACTATCTGAGTACACAACCTTGTAAAGCTGTATAATAAATGAAATGAAGGGGGTTTAACGTCCTACTGTTCTGTTCTGTTCCGACTGGGCTAATGAAGACTGGTGTATGCCATACAGTGTGCTATACAGAGGGAAAGTTTGCCTGTCTACATTAGCCCAGTCTGAGCAGAACAATATGATGTTAAACCCCCATTTCATTTCTATACGGTATTTGAATAATATGTAAAGAGAATAAAGGTTTTATTATTGTCAGTAGAGCAGAGAAAGTCAGGTTGTTGAATTATTATAGAAAGATAATTTTAAGTTACAGTGACCTAGTGATAATCTCAAATATATAAAAAATAAAAATAGAATTTATTACTGTATATGAACGTCATAAAATGACACGATAGAAGTAATCTAGGAAAACAAGATGAAAAAAAAAAGAAAGTTATGTTGTTATTAAGGCTATAAATGCTACGTAAGCAATATATGTACTTTAAAGATGCAGTATGTAAGATTTAGATAAAGAACTGGTTGTTCTTGCTATAATAATTATATTAAAGATGCAGTATGTAAGATTTAGATAAAGAGCTGGACGTTCTTGCTATAATAATTATATTAAAGATGCATTATGTAAGATTTAGATAAAGAGCTGGTGGTTCTCGGCTTCTCGCTATAGTAGTTCAAAAATAGCGATCATAATTTTTATCCGATTTTGATGAAACTTTAAATATATGTTTATAACCCAAAGATCTTGGTTCCTTTTGATATTTTCGTATGTCCGACTGTAACATACTGGATTATGGCCCCTGATTGTGTGAAAAATCACTTTTTTTTTAGCCACTCTTACAAAATGTGGGTGTATCTTGCATGGTAACTGCTCGTTCGCTAAAATATCAAATTTCATAAGAGAGAGAGAGAGAAATGGGGTTTAACGTCCACTCGACACAAACTAGGTCATTTCGGGACTAACATATGGTTTAATTTTATTTCAATAATTTGCTTGCGCGTAGGGGTCTTTAGCAGTGGGAGGAAACCGAAGGACCCGGAGAAAACCCACAAGGTTGGACAGGCGACCCTACTCCTTGTCACGTACAACCGGGGATTCGAAACCACGCCAGTCGACTCAATGACAGACTTTATGATACAGCGCTCGCACGCTAACCATTCAGCCATCCAACCCCCCAAATTTCATAAGGCTCAAGCCACGATACTCAAATTGATTATGTTTAATTAAGAAAACAAAATTGAAATATCATGGAATGCTAGATAAATATCCCGACTTGGATTCAATCGAATTTGAATTAGGCCCCCTCGGCAAACCTCAGTAGATTCCAGTACCCTACATCTATCCTCGGCTGTATGACGAGGTCCGCCATTGGAACTACTTAGTTACCGGATTACCAACGGCGTTGCCCATGATGACGCCTTTGAAGAATGTTTTTTCATACAAATATTTCAAAGTCTGAAGCTGTTTTTCTTTCAAGTTTATCAGATTTTCTTCAAACAAGTACAACTTTGCTCTGAAAATTCTAAACACGCTTCAAACGACCCAAATTTTGATAACTTCTTTTTAAAAGTGGCATGTTTTCCAAAGAAGTAAACCGGTGCCGCATCGAGGCTAGATGTAGAGTAATGGAATCTGCCGAGTTTTGCCGTGTGGAATTAGGCCTACCAATAAATTTTTGTGGACAATTAAATGGCGGCCATCATACACATAGAACCATGAAATTTCAATTCCACATAATTTGTAAATAGGGAACGGAATTTACCCCTGGTATGATTTGTATGTTTATTAGAGATTCATTGAGACTTTAATGTTTCAGAAATTGTACTGTCACCATCCAATCAGATTAAAATACAGATTTATATTTCGTTTCATTTTTTATACCTTTGAAGGCCTACACTACATGAAGATCTGACCAGTTGTACTGGAAGTTCATGTCAGGGGTCATACAAGTGGCTTTTGACCCAATGACATCAGACATTGATTAATCAATCAATGTTGATGTTTCTAGTGCTTTACCCACAGTTCCGTGCATTGCACACCAAGAACTCACCATAATAGACCATTTCATTGGCTATCCTTCACGTCATCCAAAATGCCGGTAATATAACAACCCTTCCAGATCCTAGTGTAGTAAAGACAAGTAAAACAAAATTTAGAGCTATAAAAAACAAAACGAAATAGGTAGTGTTGAAAATCGGATCGAGATTTGTGATCCGAATACTTTTGTTTGCTATCCGAATACTATTTGTCGGATAATTCGGAAACGTGAAATTCTTGAACAAAATCACATCAAAAGTTCATATACTCATAATTTCTTACTTATTTCAATGTTTATGAGTGTCTGTGTATGCTGAGTATGAAATCTTACTTTCGATTTGCAAATTGTTTGAGCCGCGAAGAAAAAAACGTGCCTACCTTTAGCCGCAATTATTAAGACTATCCATGATATCAAAAAAAATCAACGAGGTGAATAAATTTGTGTATAACTACTCCTGTAATCCGCGGCCCTCCCACTTATCATTTTTGCTCAATCAACACAAATGAAAAAAGTAAAATAAAAACATTTAACATTTATTCCACCAAGGTCGCTTGCCTCATTCTGATAATCTACTGCTATTGAACCAATCAGTAAGTGAGAATATACGTGACATTACATCGCGGGAAGTCTAAACACAGTGTTAACTTGTATCCCGTAAACCCAAGAAGTAGCTTCTATCTAGCGTTAACCAGCGCAAGGAATGAATGAATATTTTTTTATTTAGACTTCTGTTTTCGTTGCACTGCATTAATATTTTTATTAGTTACTATCGCTAATAATACGTGTGATATTAACATTTATGCTCAAAGCTGCGTACGTGATCAATACCATTGGGGAAAATTTCAAAGTAATCAGATGTAAAAATGGCTAAATATAGAGCATTGGGAATGTTAGAATATATTGTAACGAATAGTAAACGGATAGTAAAATGATTCGGATAACCCTTATTTTGTATCCGTTAACAGATATCCGAATAGTAGTTTCAACACTAGAAATAGGATATGTGTTTTAATCAGATTGTGACATCATCAATAACATGATAGTATTTATATTTTGTTTGAAAGATATTAAGTATTTATATTTTTATTATGGTTTCAGATATTGTAATGACACCTTCCAAGAAAGGTAAAGCTACCCACATAAAGATAGAAAGAAAGAAAAAGTTGAATTTAGATGAAAGTTCTGTTGTACATGAAGGAGCTGGACAGAATAAAGGATTAGTTATAAATAAACAAGAACAAGGTGAGTCTCTAAATCACTTCTAGAACATATGATATCACTTCTAGAACATCCGATACCACTTCTAGAACACCAGATATCACTTCTATAACACCTAATACCACATTGAAGAACACCCATTACCACTTCTAGAACACCAGGTACCACTTCTAGAACATCCGATACCACTTCTAGAACACCTGATGCCACTTATAGAACACCTGATATCACTTCTAGAACAACCGATACCACTTATAGAACATCCAATAACACTTCTATAACACCCATTACCACTTCTAGAACATCTGATATCACTTCTAGAAACGAGATACCACTTCTAGAACACCTGATACCAATTCTATAACACCTGATATCACTTCTAGAAACGAGATACCACTTCTAAACCACTCGATATCACTTCTAGAAACCAGATACCACTTCTAGAACACTCGATATCACTTCTAGAAATGAGATACCACTTCTAGAACACCAGATATCACTTCTAGAACATCTGATATCACTTCTAGAAACCAGATACCACTTTTAGAATACCTGATACCACTTCTAGAACACCCGATACCACTTCAAGTCACACATAGGGTTTACATGTTTCAACCTGTATTGATTTCACATTTCCCTTTGAGCCTCACATAGGGTTTATTTATGCTTGACAGGTACAGCGATAATTCTATGTCTCTTGAACAACTTCGCCCTTCAATAAATATACAGTGACATGAGGGGGCGACTTTATGGGTATTTGGAGGCTGAAATTAGCGGTGGTTGGGCGAAATAGTCCCCCCCCCCCCCCCCTAGTTCGATCCATGGTTAGTCCCAAAATGACCTAGTTTGTGTCAAGTGGAGTTTAACCCCACATCTCTTTCTCTCATTATTCGATCCCGGTGTTGGCCAAGATAGTTCTTTTATGGTTTCCCGTTATCAGTGGTTCATGAGGGAGGGTCTGGCAAGGAACAGTGCCTAGTTGTTTGTATAGTACAAAAATACTTCAAATAGGACTTGGCATGATCCATAGAATAGATCTATGAGAAATATTTCCTCAGATGGAGCATGATTAATAAGACTAAGACCAATGTGAAATAACTTTGTCGAATGGAGCATGATTCATAAAATTGATTTATGTGAAATATTTCCTCAAATAGAGCATCATTGTGAAATGTGAAATGTCTTGATCTTAAATTTGTAATAAATATTTAATGTTTTATTTTCAGCTGATGCTGATGACCTCTCTAAACCTCAGTTACAGTTGGGATTTATGTGTTTCCTTGTTGATGGAAAAACAGGAAAACATTTTGTGGTAAGTTGAGTTGTTGGTGCGAGAAAGACCTTATGACATGGAGCACACTTGACCATCTAACTCCCCAATCTGTTTCACATTGGTAAGGCCAAAACGTCTTTTAACTCGATGCAGGATTGGGGAGGGGGGGGAGGGTCCTGGTCACTGTGAGATCCATATAATTGCAATATTCCAGAAATGGAGAGTTAAAATAAGGGGCACAACTGAATGTTACGGGAAACCATTGGCTTTCATCATGACATAAGCAGCAAACATTTCTCACCGGTGGCGTCTCGCTTGAAAAAAACAAAACGTATGTGTTTTATTATGACTATTCTGTTTAATTACAGTTCTAGGCCCAAGCACGCGTTACAAAGAATACAGTGATAAGGATTATTGTTATGGACTTCTTCTTACAAGTGAAGTACCTATAATTGCGTGATAATCGATCATTATCGGCAATATCGATATTTTCCGCCAGCCCTAGTCAACTAGCGTGGTTTCGATTCTCCGGTTGGTTATACGTGACAAGGAGTAGGGTCGCCTGTCCAACCTCCTGGGTTTTCTCCGGGTCCTCCGGTTTCCTCCCACTGCTAAAGACCCCTACAAATTATTGAAATAAAAATTAAACCATATGTTAGTCCCGAAATGACCTAGTTTGTGTCGAGTGGACATTAAACCCCATTTCTCTCTCTGTCTCTCTCTAAAGAAAGACCTGATATAGGCGGATTTAGCTCATGCATAATGTATGTTTAAGTTGCGAGACCTCTCTATTTAGAGGTCATTTTTCTCAGTGATTGTAGTGGCCAAGCGAATATTCACTGCTGACCAGTTTTCCCTATCCGTGATAGTAGTGGCCATGCTGGTATTTACTGCTGATCAGTGTGCCAACCCCATGATATACATGTGGTGAGGTAATGGTTACCTGTATGTCTTCGAAACTTCACCCAAATAAAGAAGTAGCTGTTTTTTTCAGAAGTTGTGTTTTTGTTTATTGCTCTATCCAGTCATTTTTCTCAGTGATTGTAGTGGCCAAGCGAATATTCACTGCTGACCAGTTTTCCCTATCCGTGATAGTAGTGGCCATGCTGGTATTTACTGCTGATCAGTGTGCCAACCCCATGATATACATGTGGTGAGGTAATGGTTACCTGTATGTCTTCGAAACTTCACCCAAATAAAGAAGTAGCTGTTTTTTTCAGAAGTTGTGTTTTTGTTTATTGCTCTATCCAGTTACTACATGCCTCTAAAAGACTATAAAAATGTAGGCAACCTACAAATTCAAATAAGATTATTTTTCAAAATAATGAATTCCATGACATTTCTTGATTATTTATTACAGGAAAGTCGTCGATTAAAGTTCTGGTATGCAGACGGTACAGATTATTATAATCAAGTATCAACGGCTTACGATTTCTTTAAAGAATTAGTTCGACCAGAAAACTTTCCTAAAGGTACAATAATTATGTGTTCTATTTTGTTCATTCATTCATGGGGGGGGGCGATTGGTTAGCGCGTGAGCGTTGTATCATAAGGTCTGTCACTGAATCAACTGGCGTGGTTTCAATTTCCCAGCTTGTACGTGACTAGGAGTAGGGTTGCCTGTCCAACCTCGTCGGTTTTCTTCGTGTCCTCTGGTTTCCTCCCACTGCTAAAGACCCCAACGCGAAAGTGAAATATTGAACCATATGTTAGTCCTGAAATGACCTAGTTTGTGTCCAGTTAACGTTAAATCTCATTTCTCCGAGTGATTTGATGATATTCAAACATATTCAAACTAATTAATCTATCAAAATGTAGCTTCAAATCCTTCTCAAAATAATTTTTGTGTCACGTGTTCATTGCATACACAAGTCACTCTTCATATCTTAAAATTATTAGCCGTAAGTGTCAATGTGAAAATATTGGAATGATGCCAAAGTCATTGACACGGTGTGATTTTCACCTCTGACCTATTACGTAAATACTGGAAGATCCTTTGTTGAAACGTATGTTTTTTATTCGATAATTGGCGAATATAACATTCCTTGTCAATGAGTGCTTTATTTTTATTACTCAATCACCATTTATTTATGAAATAAAAACAATAGAAATCAACTGCCCACGTCTTTTTTCATGTTTTTTGTCTCAGAAACTGTTGTATGTTTAAGCTCACCATTAAGTTTATCAACATAAACATCAAATATTCACTAATAAAACAATCTTCGCGTGCAACCTTTCACATCACTCAAACAGACATCCCTAATCGTCAGGAAACCCTTACATTTTTGACCTGTATGCACGGAATCCAGTATTTTTCTATTATGATTGGATATCTCTACTTTCCATATATACCAAAATTGCCTTACTTTTATTGGAAAAAACCATCAGATAAATACTTTTATGGGAATTTATCTTTAATGTTTGGATGGCCCTTGGTGCCAACTCCTAAAGCCCATGCCTTAATGTGGCCGAGTGGGTAGGACGCTGGCTCGCTAGTCTGGAGGTAGCGCATTCAATTCCTGCATTGGCTGAAAAAGTTCATCTGTAGGGCCTGACAAAAACAGCTGTCTGGTCATTCGGAGGTAACAATAAACCGATGTCCTGTGTATATATTGGCTTGCATGTAAAAGATCCCTTGGCAGTTGAAATTAGATATAAGAGTAGGCCGTAGTGCCACTGTCCGGGCAAAATTTCCCTCATAGCACACTGTATGGCGTATATGCCCGTCTTCATTAGCCCAGTATAGGAGCAGAACAGTCAGACGTTATACCCCATTTCATTTCATTTCCATATCTTAATTCAGCCATGTCTTATAAATTCTATATGTTTGTAGATTACGTGGGGTTTATAAAGAAATGTATGAAACAGATGCAAGGTGACAAATATCAATTAGCGGTTAAGGTTGATCTAGAAATAATGAAATTAGATGATAAAGATGCCCCACAGAGTCCAGGTGAGAACTTACCTTTAATTATATATTACCTGTTGGTCTACCTGTAAATAAATTATAATCTATTTATCTCAACTTAAACCAGGTGTTGTCAGATGTTTGTAATCTAATATGACTATGTAATACGTACTCCAGTAACAGGCCTGTTGCCAGAATATTTGAGAAGGGGTGGGGGAGTGCTCAGGTCTGCTGTGTAGGGGCAAGCTATATGATGGCAGTGTAATTTCTGGTGCTATGTGATGAGTCCTGGACAATAGAATCTTCTAAGATAATTTTATGTCCTGGATGATAGAATCTTCTAAGATCCTTTTTTAATTTTGGACAAAAATATTTGTCAGGCATAAAATCAACAAGACAGAAAAATAACGGAACATTGATCAAGACTATTATCAAATCTGAAGATTATTTTATCTTGTTGTTGAAAAGACGATATTGATAGAATAAGCAAGTAAAGGATCCCCTAACCCAGCGGTTCTCAACCTTTTTGTGCCAACGACACATCTTGGAACACATGAAAATAAAAATAAAAAGATGTTAAGTCAGACAGAATATAACCGTAGAGACTAGTCATAGGCACATAGAATGACTCAAACTAAATAAAGAAAAACACAGCTATAAACTTATCAGTAAACACCAGTGAATACTCAGTTGGGGTCAAGTAGGTTTTTGCATTTTCTTAGTGTGCAGTTAAAAATTTTGCGGCAGACCGGTTGAGAATCACTGAACACAGTTATGAACTTATCAGCAGACACCAGTGAATACTCAATTGGGGTCAAGTGGGTTTTCATATTTTCTTAGTGTGCCGTTAAAAATTTTGTGGCACACCGATTGAGATTCACTGCCCTAACCGAAGAAGAACAGAGACTAGTGTAGATTTAGGCGAGATTTAATAATAACGTTTCGGTCTTTAATCGACCTTCATCAGATGATATTGATTCTGGTGTTTTAAGTGTTATATTATCTTGGCATTAGAAACAAAAGGTTTAATTTGTCTGTTTGTTCTTCTATTAGAAAATCTAATATCGGTGGAAAATATAGGTAGGTATTACACATATAACCCACAGTTGGAGTTGTTCTTATTCATAGTTTCACCCAATCTGATTAAAACACAGATACTATTTCGTTTCCTTTTTTATACCGATAGTTCAAAATTTTGTTTTACTTGTCTTTATTACACGTGGGGGTGTGATGTTGAATGGTTAGTGTGTGCTTTCTGTGTCATAAGGTCTGTCATTGAGTCAACTGGCGTGGTTTTGATTCCCCGGTTGAACGTGACAAGGAGTAGGGTCGCCTGTTCAACCTTGTGGGTTTTCTCCGGGTCCTCTGGTTTCCTCCCACTGCTAAAGACCCCTACGCACAGACGAACTATTGAAATAAAATTGAACCATATGCTAGTCCCAAAATGACCTAGTTTGTGTTGAGTGGACGTTAAACCCCATTTCTTCTTCTGTGTTTTAATCAGATTGAGTTTTTTTTGGTCATGTATTCATCTTGGTATTACGGCTATTCTATTAAAATTATCTGGCCCCGAGTTCACAAAGCATTCTCAGACTTAAGTTAAGAATTTACTCAACTTTCAATCACTGTTTATGAGAAATATCTTTGATCCAGAAACACAAAACTTTGCACATAGTTTCTTATTGATGTATTTCTTACATTAAAACAACAAAAGTTTTATAAAGGAGAACAATTTTGAGTAAATTCCTAAATTAAGTCTGTGAATGCTTTGTAAACTCGGGGCCTGAGGGGAATGACATCAATAAATGGACGCTACATCTATCCCCTGCCTCTAAGCTGTGAATTAATATAACAAGATTCAATTTAATGGAATACAAATTACATTAAAGTTTATTACTGGTGATGTTTTGACAAGAGTTTTTTTCTCTTTATCTTTCTTTGCCAGAAATAAACTTTAAAGTAACTTGTATTTCATTTAATTGTCACATGTTCTTATTTAGTTACATGTACTAAATGCCATCAGAACTACCAAGATGAATATTATAGTTTTATACAAGAAGTTATTTCCTGATTGTTTCAAGCACCAACAGATTTTGTTTGTTGTCACACCTAATTTGTTCATTTTTAAGTTTTTACCACAAATTATGTAACAAAAAGTATGAAAAATGTCATAATCATCAATTAATATTGCAATTTTATAAAAAAAACTTTTATTTATTAAAAACTTCAGTCTCCAAGCGTTTACATTTCAAACACAGAATTAAACTGTTTTACAGTTATTTTAGGAAAACCTTTTATTTATTAAAAACTTCAGAATCCAAGATTTACATTTTAAACACACAATTAAACTGTGTTCAAGATACAATCCTATCAATCTGGTTAAAACACAGATCTTATTTCGTTTCGTTTTTATAGTTCAAAATTTCGTTTTACTTGTCTTTACTACACTTGGATCTGGAAGAGTTGTTATTTAACTCGTGTTCTGAATGGTGTCGGGGATAAGCCAATGAAACAGTCTGTCACGGCGAGCTTTAGGCGTGTTTTGCACTGAACTGTGGGTAATCAACTAGTGATATCAATGCTGATTGGTTAATCAAATGTCTGACATCATAGGGTCATAAGTCGGTCTTTTGACCCCTGACGTGACCTATCGCTATAACTTGTCAGATCTTCATGTAGTGTAGGTCATCGAAAGTATAAAAAGCCGAAACGAAATATACATCTGTATTTTAATCAGTTTACAATCCTATCGGTGTGAATCTTTGATAAAACATGATATCACGCTGGTCATACTGTACTTTTGTTTTTATTTATTTATTTTAAGGATATTTTTCATACTACACCTTTTCAAGATACCTGAGTTTATATGATTTGTTTATGTTGTTCACATTTTACGTACCACACCTTTTCAAGATACCTGTGTTTTTATTTGTTTATGTTGTGGACATACTGCACCTATTTAAGATAATTGGGAGGGGGGGATGCCCGAATGGTTAGCTCGTGCGTGTTGTATCATAAGGTCTGTCATTGAGTCAACTGGTGTGGTTTCGATTCCCTGATTGTATGTGACAAGAAGTAGAGTCATCTGTCCAATCATCGGCCTCGATGTTTAAACCTGTTAACTCATGAAGCCGTTCTATAAATATAACTTATTGTCGTTGAACTGTAATTTGAAATTGATCGATATCTTTAAACTGTCTGTTATCTGCCTGTCGTCATGCAGATGAATCTAAATGGATCAATCTGTTAAATTATTTCTTCTAGAGTTATGGCCCTTTTTTCTCTTTGTTGAACCTTATGAATAATGAAAGTTATCCTCTGATGTGTATGAAATTTATATGCATCATTTGAATTAGTAAAACAAAAAATAATTTTAAATTTCAGCAATTTCCTCTAGTTTCTTCTGTTAAATTATTTTTTTGCATGATTTGACTGATAGGTGAAGGAACAATAATATCTTGAATTTTATTTATGAATAGTTATCGTATTACTTAGATATGCCTCGACGTTTAACATTTTCTATGAAACTATTCTTCAATTTTGTCTTTTTCTCTTTTTAAAACTTTCTTTAACGGGTAGTCAATCTTCATTCCATGCGTTGCTGAAGATACTTGAATTCATGAAATCATGAAAAAATTGTCAGTACCCTAAAAGCGAATTGTTTCAATTTGGTATTTTGCAAATTGCGACTTTGACCACCAACAGTGTGAACCCTGGGTGAAATGTTGGCTGTGATAGTTTATATGTTCGTAATTACGGTGAATTCGAAAATCAACTGGCATATTCTGTATTTTAATGGAGTGAATGAATTAATCATACATTATACCCTGCCAGGGTTCGCACACGTTAAACATACATTATGTAAGAGCTAAATCTGTCTATTACAGGTCTTTCTTTAGGCCTGAAATGTTATCTAAATTATTAATAAGACATTTATCAACATGAAAAGAGCATAATCAACTCTCGATAGCATCAGATACTCAAGATTTTAACTAGATTAGAACGGTTTGCCATTTAAAACTTTAATTTAAAAATGGGAAAGCGAGGCTAAGTCCGAACCAGTGTCCTGGTTACCACAATGCACACATCGTGTCAAAACTACAAACAGTGATAATTTGGCTCAGAATGAAGTAATTTGAATAAAATTTTCAAAATTTTCATTTTACGTTATCTATTTTTGAGCTGTTATAGCAAGAACAACCAGCACTTTATCTAAATCTTACATAATGTATATTTAATTATTGATGATATAACTAGTTTATTTACAAAAACAGATTTAATAATTTATAACTATTTAATTTTTAACTTGGATCAGGTATGGATGGTTTATTCGGGTCAAGTAAGTAAAATCTTGCCCAAGGATTTTTACGATTTTGGTTGTCTTGTTTTTTCTTTCAACATGCTTATCAACATTTTTACGGTTAGAACTCCTTGAGACAGCCCTTATTTGTACCACCAACCATCGACATTGTAACTGTCCAATTACGACTCAATTCATTTAATTGTTGGTGTGGACATAGATAGATTTAATTTGCAGAAGAATAATGCTAGGTTCTCACTGTCGTGAGATGCGCATACTCCTCGCAATGTTTCGTTTGATTATTCCTAATCCCACTAAACACTGCTTTAACGAAAGCAAATTTCTGTTTCAAATTATGACTGGTCAATGGTCTGATTAACAACCAATAGCTAACTGCGTTACAGAAGCATTACGCCTAAAACAGAGCTCCAAATTGGATCAAATATTTTTACATAACGTTACGTCACGACTCAAGATTAACCAGTGCATAGCAGAATATTGCAGAAAAACTAATTGCGTGACAAACGAGGCTATCAAATCGAAAACAATGTAAACAATACTGTTTGGAGACGAACATACTTTCACAGTTTTTAATACCTTAAATCACTATCCAAAGTTTTAGGGAAGACCCCAGATTAAAGAAGGGGTGTCATGTTGCTGTACTTGGGATAGATTTGATTGAACGGGAAGAATAGACAAACTCCCTCAAAAGCTCAAGTATCAGAAGCCAATCCAGCAATGGCCGTAGAGGGATTTCTCAGGCCATTGCTTCAGGAATATGTGAGATGCATTACGATAGGATTGCCCCTATTGAGTCCATGATCTACTATGTTCAGATACGTTTGAATACGTTTCATTATGATCAACACGTTTGCGACGACTGACCTCAATATATGATAAGACTTAATAGTATTACCACGATTACTCCATGATTTCATTCGTGGCATGAATCGTGATAGTGGGAACCTAGCAAAGCGGAAATGCTGCTGTTGCATTTTATTCTAAAAGTTAAAGTGAAAGGAAGTGAAAATTCAATTAAATATAATGACATTGTTCTTCACGTAAAAGAATCCTTTGGGGGTCACAGTGGCTGAGTGGGTAAGACGCTGGCTCGCTAGCCTGGAGGTCGGGTGTTCGATCGCTTTATTGGCCGAGAAAGTTCATCCAGATTTACCGGTGTGGTTCCCCCTTGTCAGTGATGCACCACGGAGGGCCTGACAAGGACAGCTGTCTAGTTGTTCTGATGGGACGAAAAACCGAGGTCCCGTGTACATATTGGCGTGCGTACATATTGACAGTTGGAATTCGATATAAGAGTAGGTCGTAGTGCTGCTGTCCGGGAAAAATTTTCCTCGTAGCACGCTGTATGGCGGATGCCCGTCTTCATTAGCCCAGTTCGGAGCAGAACAGTTGGACGTTAAACCCCATTTCATTTCATTTCAAAAGAAGGTAACGCCGTTGTTCAGGCAAAATTCCCCTCGTAGCACATTGCATGACATATATGCCCATCTTCATTCGCCTGGTTCGGCAGAAAAGTAGGACATTAAACCATGTCTCAATTTATTTTATCTGTAAAAATGTTGTTAAATATGTTCAAAAGGTAGATGGATGGTGTGTGGTTTTAGTCATGCTGTGCTGTACTGTGGTTTAAACTTTATTCTCTACTTTCATTTCATTTTCTTCATCTTTTAAAAGTATAGTGTCGTAAAGAATTTTTTTTTTTTTTTTTTTTTTTTAAAAAAAGACTAATTTTCATATTTTGATTTTAAATTTTAAAAAGATATTCTGGTGTGTTGGTGTTTGTTTGTCTTTTTCAATGTACATGTTTTCGCGGCGTTTCCGTGCATGTTTTCGATGGCGAAAAAGATGGTCTATTGCAAATGTAATGGTACCGTTTTTATATAACCAGCGAAAACACGCTCCTAAAAAACGGGCCTAAGGCTTTATAATTAATTATGTGTGACTTCAATAGTTGTGAGCATGAGTGTTCATTAAAATGTTTCAAGCCTCGACAGATTGTTAATTATTAAAAAAAAGCTGTTTTCTTTGTTTAAATTGTTTTTTTATTGTAAACTAAATGTAGCTTGTAAATGAATTGAAGGAATGGTTGCATGATGGGATATGGGATAAAAAATATGGCATATTTATAAAGGTGGAATTTTCGTAGAAATTAGTTTATCTTCCAGTAGCCTTGGTCATTCCAGACCAAATGTTCTCCGCCTTAAACTGAACAAACTAATGTGAATTATGCACACAGTTCTAATCAATCAAAAATATATGTCTTTTGATTGGTTTAGATTCGGTGATAAGTATAATGGGTCGTAATTTGTCCCGACCAATCTTCGTCTCATTTGACATGGAATCAATTGGTGCAAGAGAGTTCGCAACTAATCCATAAATGTCATAATTTATGGATAGGTTTTGTTTAGACTGTCTTGGAACAATTAGATGTATTATACATGTTATTTATTAAGGAAATTATCTGATCCACAAAATTGTTTCTGTAACAATATTAATGCATCAATTCATTGTTCATATTTAAAGGCTGGAGGTCGGGTGTTCAATCCCTGCATTGGCCGAGAAAGTTCATCCAGATTTTCCGGCGTGGTTCTCCCTTGTCAGTGATGCAGGATGGAGGGGCTGACAAGGAAAGCTGTCTAGTCGTTCGGATGGGACGAAAAAACGAGGTCCCGTGTACACATTGGCGTGCACGTAAAAGATCCCTTGGCAGTTGGAATTCGATATAAGAGTAGGCCGTAGTGCCGCTGTCCGGGCAAAATTTCCCTCATAGCACACTGTATGGCGTATGCCCGTCTTCATTAGCCCAGGTTAGGAGCCGAACGGTAGGACGTTAAACTCCATTTCATTTCATTTCATTTCATTTCATATTTAAAGGCAAACAAATATAGTTTTACAGGACAAATTTTTAACCTCGCTAAATTTGACCTAATAATTATGGAAGTGTGTAATTATTACGGATGAAAACGGACATGTGGGCAGGTCATGAGAAACAAACAATTAATTAACCACAGCCTAACACATTTATTATTATTATTATAATCTGTGTGTTTGTATCTCCTTCCACTGTAACCTGGGTATCATTTAATCTTGTGTATTTAACATTAATTTCTTTAACATTCATTCAATATCAATCATTGTTTAAAATCCGTAAAAAATGTTTAAAATCAAGTACAAATTAGATGATTTGGGGTGATTTTAAATGATTGGCAGGATTTGTTAGAATGAAATTCTTCCGATTTCAAAATGGCCGGTCAGTTTTACCAGATATAAACGAAGAGTAACTTATCTCTGGGATGAAGATTGACTTGTAAGTTGACTAATATTTGATTATACAGAATATTTGTGACATTTTAATATTGTTATTTTCAGGTTTCAACAAAGAAGATTTAAGACCTCAATCAGAGATTGTACGAGAAAAATTATTACATATTTTAGAATCTGCATATCCTAATGTTTTAGCTGTAGAGGATTTAATCAGGTAGCGTTCATTATGTTAATGATTACTGTTTGTGGGAGGTTGGGGTGGCTGAATGTTTTAGCTGTAATCAGGTAGCTTACATTATGTTAATGGTCTCGGTTTGTGGGAGGTTTGGGTAGTTGAATGTTTTAGCTGTAGAGGATTTAATCAGGTAGCGTACATTATGTTAATGATCACTGTTTGTGGGAGGTTTGGGTAGCTGAATGTTTTAGCTGTAATCATGCAGGTAGCTTACATTATATTAATGATCACTATTTGTGGGATGTTTGGGTGGTTGAATGTTTTAGCTGTAGAGGATTTATTCAGGTAGCGTACATTATGTGCATCTGAACACTTTCGGTGAAAGATGTGCTATATAAATGTATTAAATAATAAAAATAATAATAAAATCATACACTTGTACGTGACAAGGGAAGGGTCACCTGTCCAATCTCATGAGTTTTCTCCATGTTCTCTGGTTTCCTCCCACTGTGAATAACGCCTACGCCCATGCACTTAACATTAAACCATATGTTAGTCCCGAAATGATCTAGTAGATATTAAACCACATTTCACACTATCTGTATATGTTTAAAGCTGTTTTATTTGTACTTTGTCAAATAAATCTTCGTTTTATTCATCTGAAATAGGAAATAAAATGGGGTTTAACGTTCTAATCTCCTGAACTGCAACTGGTCTAATGAAGATGGGCATACACCATGCGGTGTGCTATCAGGGGAAACTTTGCCCGGACAATGTGAGATAGGAACAAGGAATTGATAAAATGATTTGGAAAAAGGAAATGAAGTGAAATTGGGTTTAACTTCCTACGGTTCTGCTCCGACTGGGCTACTAAGGACGGGCATACACTGTACAGGGTGCTATAATGGAAATTTTGCCCAGAAGCAGCACTACGGCCTACTCTTATGTCGAAATCCAACTGCCAAGAGATCTTTTACATGCATGCCATGATTAGACAGCTGTCCTTGTCAGGTCCTCTAGGAAGGTCTGAATAGCTCTTAATGAATTCTGGAAGCAAAATGTTTCAAAAGAATAAACATAACCATAGTTTATTAAATATTTGATTTTGTGTTCCAGAATAACAGCATCAGATGAACATATTGTAACAGCTCAGCTTGAAGAACTTAAAACACGAGAATTAGTACGAACATTAGAAAATGGTGGCGTTGTTCGTCAAGTACTTGATGAAAAGACGGGAAAAACTGGTAATAAATCTGAAACCTTCTAATGCTACTTTACCTACATATTAGATGAATGGTGGGGAACGGGGATGGGGGTGGCGCGAATTGTCTAGCGTGTGTGGTTCACATCATTATATTTGTCATTGAGTGAAGTGGCTTTAACCAGAAGTAGTGTTACCTGTCCAACCTCATGGGTTTTCTCCAGGTCTTGGTGGTTGGTTTGGTCTAGTGGGTTAATGCATGTGCATGATATCACAAGGTCTGTCATTGAATCAAGTGGTGTGATTTCGATTCCCACTCTATTACGTGACAAGGATTGCCTGTCCAACCACAACCACATGTGTTTTCTCTGGGTCCTTCAGTTGCCTCCCACTGCCAAAGACCCCTACGAGCAAGTGAATTATTCAAACCATATGTTAGTCCTGAGTTGACATAGTTTATCTCGAGTGGAGGTTAAACCCCATCTCTCTCTCTCTCTCTTTCTCTCTCTCTCTCTCTCTCTCTCTCTCAGTTTCCTGCAACTGCTAAAGACCCCTAAGCTCAAGCAAATTTCGGAAATGGAATCTAACCCTATATTAGTCACAAAATGACCTAGTTTGTGTCGAGTGGACATTGAACTATATTTCTTTCTGACAATCCGCTGTTTGTGACTTGATGATAAAGTGTGTATTTTATATTACAGAGGTAGAGGTAGTGAAGAATATGCCTATGATGGCGACTAGTGATCAACCTACGATAGCCATTATTACAGCATTATATTGTGAGAAACTAGCCATCGACTCCATGATGGAAAATAAAAGAACATATGTTAAATATAAAACTGAAGGTACGATTAATTGGTTGTTTGATTTGTGAACCATCCAGTAGTGCTTACACATATATAAATGGGGGTTGGATGGCCGAATGGTTAGCATGTGTGCGCTGTATCATTGAGTCAGCTGGCAACCCATCCTTTTGACTCCTATTGGAAATATTTGTAATATAATGGTTTTGATCTTGTGGAAGAAGGGGTTGATGTTACTGATTTCTTCATCGGAAATGTTCTACATAGTATGTAGAGTCCTTCACGTTTATAAAATTATGCTGGAGCCATAAAAAGCTCCTTCCAATTTCAAAAATTAGTAAATAGCTCCCATAAAAATCTCTTCTTATATTGCAAGAGTAATTCTACATTTTTTTTTTAATTAAGGAGAGCCAGTTTGTATTTATGCTTTAGTCTTGTTTAATATTTGGTGAATATGTTAGTGTTAGAATCATCATCATCGGAACTGTTAGCTCGAAAGCAGCAGTTCAAAAATAAAACAAAAACTGAAAGTAGTTTTGTTAATCTCAGTATCGCAAAGTAAAGTCGAGGTGCTTCGAGAGGCACAGCTGCAAAAGCACACCTTAGACGTGAAGGACTGTATGTACGGGTGAATATTATATTATATTTACAGGTGAATCTAAATGACATAGATTGTGTCGATTGACCTGATTTTTCTCTCCTTTCAGGTGAATCTAATGTGTATACTCTTGGATATATTGGTGGTCATAAAATTGTATCAACTAAGTTACCCGCTATAGGTCATGTTCGAGCTGCTCAAATATCCTCTGGTAATTCTACAACCAGATTGTTAGGTAAGTCTACGTCTCAATATCTTTATTTTTTTGTCCCATTGTCAGTGGTGCAGGATGGGAGGCCTGTAAAGGAAAAGAGACGGACAACTGAGGTCCTGTGTTTGGATGACCCGATAGCTGTTATGTTACAAATATTTATCCAACCTTATGCAAATACATGTTCCTTCGCGTAACCTCCAGTCATACAGACTTCATCAGTATGTTGCCAAAGGTGAAATCATTTAGATACAGATTGTTCTCAGTGGAACAATCTTCCAGAAATCATTAAATGGAGCATGGAGCAGGATGCAGGGTGGGTCGGTGGAGGCATGACAAGGACAAGTAGCTTGAAACTGCAGAGGTCGCATGTTTGATCCCTGCATTGGCCGAGAAAGATCATCGGGATTTTCCAGTGTCGGAGGGCCTGACAAGGAAAGCTATCTAGTCGTTCTGATGGGACGAGAACCCGTGCACGTAAACGATCCCTTGGCAGTTGGAATTCGATACAAGAGTAGGCCATAGTGCAGCTGTCCGGGAAAAAATTCCCTCATAGCACACTGTATGGCGTATGCCTGTCTTCATTAGCCCAGTCAGAGCAGAACAGTAGGACGTTAAACCCCATTTCATTTCATTTCATTAAACTGCAGTCATGTATTTACCATTGACAGCACATTAAAGTTAGCTTTATTGTTCCTCTCTCAATATTAATACCATTATTTGTTTTTGTTGCCATGCAGATATCTCTTTCTTTTAACCAACTTAAGAATTCTAAAGTTTTCAAACATTTAATTTGAGAAATATGGAAGTTTGTGAGACTCAATTAAGTTTATAGATGTAGTAACTAAATCAATGTCATCCATGTTATTGCATAATATTAATACCATTATTTGTTTTTGTTGCTAGGTGGATTTCAGAATATCGAGCATGTATTTATAGTGGGCGTGGCTGGTGGAGTTCCTCACTATACAGATTACTATAAACATGTCCGTCTGGGTGATGTTATCCTCTCAAGACAAGACGACAGAGGCTACATCTACTACTACTGCGACAAAATCCTGAAAAATAAACAAGGTGACGTTCATTATAATCTGAAAACGTGGGCGCCCCGAGACCTGGAACTCCAGAAAATAACGGAGAAGATTGAGCAAGCTCAGAGATCCAACCCGAACCTGGCATCATGGGAACGTTACATGTTGGAAGGCGAACAGGTTCTTCAAGGTCAAGAAACGAACTTCGAGCGTCCTCCAGATAACACTGATCGTCTTTACATGGATCTCGGCGAGGATCAGGTCATCGAGGTTCAACATCCATTCCCACCAGAGGGAGCTGTTGTCCGAGAGGGAATGCCTCGACTTCACTATGGAGTATTTGGTGCCGGAAGTCGTGTAGTTAGATCCGATGCCACGAGATTAGATTTCGCATCGCGATACAACATCTCCGCATTCGATACAGAATTCGATCAAGTTTTAGAATCTATTGTTGGTAATAGGAAGGACAGTTTTATGATAATTCGTGGAGTTGCTGATTATTCCGATGGATCTAAAAATAAAAAATGGCAGTCGTACGCGGCTTTAGCTGCTGCCACGGTTACCAAGACAGTTATCAAATCTATCGGTAAATCCCGAATAGATCAGTAATCACGAATACAATCAACTTTTATACTCAATATTTAAACCATTACATCTTCAAGTGAGTTCATATACAACATTATCAGGAATAAATATTGGTGTTCTTTATACTAGATTCATTCTAAATTGTCTCCATCAGCTTTACCATAAATTGTAATTTTGCTCGTTCTACTAAATGAAGGTATATTTGTTAAAATAAAACCCCAATGCATCTTGAGTAATCCCTTTAAAACAATCCCTTTGATTGGATTCTGGAGCGGCAAGCCTCTGATCGTGATATGATTCCATAAAACAAGTACAATATCGTGAAAGTTGAACCTCTAAAAGGTACATCAACCCAAAACTGGTTCAATTCTGTTCATTATTTACAAAGATATAATGAACTAATATTCCATCGATCTATGCAAAATACGGTCATCTTTATGTTTTGCAAAATCTAATTGATAGTCCTGTTTTTGTTCTGATTGAATCCAGTCCAGGAGATTGTCGAATATTGGGGGTTTGTTTGGCTGAAAGGTTAGCATGTGTGCGCTGTATTATAAGGTCTGTCATTGAGTCAACTGGCAGGGTTCCAATTCCCCGGTTGGACGTGACAAGGAGTAAATCTCAGGGTTCCAATTCCCCGGTCGTACATCTCTTCATGAATATTGCCCATCCAACATAATGAAGGTATTTCAATTGTAAAAGTCGGAAAATCATTTGATTTGTAAAAAGGGAAAATTTGTGATTTAGCAAAAGAGAGATGGCTAAGCTTGGGATTTTGTATAACTGAATAAATTATCATTATTTGTCTAGAAAGAGAAAATTCATAATTTGTATCTAATCTGTTGGAGACAATTTTTTTTTACAAGACTGTAGCTGATTTTTTTAACTTGCATTAGACATTTATAATAAATAGAAGCTATATATTGTGACTAACGTTATTAAGGTATAAATAATCTTTAAGCCAGATTACATGTAACCCGTGATGGCAGAATGAGAGAAAATAAAATGTGAAAATAGGTTAAGAATATCTTTTAATGATATAACATGAACAATTTAGTTTTGACAAAGAAATCAAACTAAATTACTCTCTTTAAGATAACCTAGGAAATAGAAACTTATGGATTGATTCCTGTATTCACAACTGATTAGAAATAATATATGGATATAAAACAGACATGACAGGGATAATTGATTGTAAGTTTCTCCACATTCTGAACATGTGATCCAGAATCCAATTCTGTCAGTCCCATTTAACAGATGTTGAGTAGACTCTGAAGTAAAACACAGCGAACATGTCTCTCATGTTGTGATTGGTTGTTCTTTTTCATATTCGATAGGTGCATGTTCGTTGCTCGATACTCTTGCATTTACCAGATTTTCAGCGTTCATGGGACAGAGAGAATTTGGTCAAGTATCGACAATGTAACATTGTGACGCTATTATCCTAATGTCATATCAGGTTGATTAAGATTAATGAAAAAATTTATTGAAATATTGAAAGAAGAATCATGAATTGTTTTTTTTTTGTTAGAATGAAAGAAGATGACTTTGTTATATTTTTATGAATTATTTTTTCACAATTAAATGATTAGAAATGGTTGTTGATTTTTCTGTTAGATTATATTTTGTTAAAAAGATGAAAGAGAATCTTGTTCATTTCTAGAACTACATGTTATAAACCTTATTTTGATCCTTAAAAAAAACATAGATTTTGTTTGAATTAAAACAAAGATTATATTAAAGACTTGATGCATCATTTAGCGCTATCGGAATCCCCTGTAAACTACAATATTGTTAGAGTTGAATCTCTAATAGGAATATCAATCTAAAAATGGTTCAATCCAGTACTTACAAAGTTATAATAAATTGAAATTTCATCGATCTATGCTTCTTGAGCGTAACAAGACACCGCTATCTTTTGTTGGTAGCGAAGAAAGCTGATTTTGTTTTCTTAAACCTATGTTAAATCGATCCAAGTGCATATTAAACGAGGAAATTTGATATTTTTGGCGAAAATACAAATGATGCATCAAGACTTTAAGAATAAGTACAAGCTTTGTATATATATATATATATTTGTTTAAAATCTGGCTTCCAATATCAATCAAAAACTTTAGATTTAAAATTCTAAGTTTATTTATTTTCTAACATACTGCTTAATTGTTCCTTGCTATATTATTGTAATTAGATATAAAGTAAATTGTTTCTTGCTATATTATAATTAGATATATTGTTGAATTGAATTTATTATCACTGCATGCTGATTTATTATATTTCTATTTATGTTGTTAAATATACAGGTTATATATACATTATACACTACAGCTTGGGTATCGTTTAGTTCTGCAGTTTTAGCAAGAGTTAATTAGTCTGTTAATACAGAAACTCTCACTTGAATAGCACAACTACACGATACCCGAGTTGAAGTGATAGTTGCTTGTTGTTATATGTTGACTTTCCTGTACCTTATAATCCAATCCATTCCTTTATTACATTATATTATAACCAAATACAAACTTTCCCCACAGTCTATTCAGATGAAATTTAAGCTCTTGGATTAATATTTGATTAATGCATGTTGTGTATATTTAGGAAAGCTTGAGTTTGCATCTAAGGATTTTTTGAAGAACACTTTTAAAAGCCTTACACTGGGAGGTGACTTAATTTTGATTCATGATAGAAAAAAACCCTTTATTATTAAGTTTTTTTAAAATCATTTTATAAATGGAATGAACCCAAGTTATGCTGGGACTTTATTATTACACGCACTGATGACAGAGTCCATTGACTTCAAACTGAATACAGCAAGCCACTTATATATTACATTACATATACTAGAAGATCCCTGCTTATTGAACCCTGATTTAAAGGGAACTGAATGGTACTTTTATTCCACATTCCAGTTATATAATGTGCTCAATTAAAATAAGACATTAAAGTCTGAAACAGACAATACTGAAGTTTTGAATATTAGTTCCAAGAACTTGATGATTAATTATTATTAGAATCTTTGAGCTTACAATTGTTGTATGATTAATATTATTGTTACCATGTGCTTGCATATGGAGATAAAAAAAATATAGGAAGCGCAGTTGGTCCCATTATTGTAACCAATAGTAACCACAGTTCTGTTGTTGTATTTGTGAAAATACTAGTATAACCACAGGCCTCTGTAACGTGGAAAATCTCTTTCAAAAATAACATTAAGCTGTGACTAAGTATAATGTCTTATTACGTTCATGTTCAAGTGAGAATAGAGAGGTTTTGCAACTTAACTGTTACACTCACATTTATATTTAGATAAGTGTAAGTGGAAACTGTACATAATGACGTTTCGCTAAATTCACACTTACAGTTACACATAGTAGGTGGAAACACAAACTTGGTCCACTATCTTGATAGGTGTTCATCACAGATAGATTGTTAAAGATGAGATTAGTAAAGCACGCACATGATTTGTCTCAACCTCTTCTTGTTTTATCTTCTCTGTGGATTTAGTTCATGAAAACCACAATTCAGAGAAAATTTATGGACTAGATTATAGAAATTAAACAAGGTTTAGCTACGTGTTTTGAACATACAGTTAGGGAGGCTGCTATCTGTCGGACACACTTTTATGATGTGCGCTTCACGTCATACGTCACAAAAACTGATCATGTTTAATCGTCTAAGCATAAGTGTAAATGTAAAGTTGCGAAACCTCTCTATTATCAAATTCAGGCACCTGTGGTCTAACCAGATAACTATGTTATTTACTGAAGCATATACTTCTAAATGGCCTAGAAATATTATTACAGAATAGAATTGTTATTTGCCGGAAATGAGCCTCGATTTGGCTAACCTGGACTAACAGGCAAAGAAATTGACTGGCGAGTGAAATTACTTGTCATTCAATTTAAATGCCATAAATTAGATACTTCAAATAATTTAACCTTAAAATACAATATATACGGTTAAATTGATCGTTTTAAAGATTGGCAATATCGTAATATTTCTACTTATCTCTTGATTTTAGGTAAAATTGTAAAATGAGGATCCGATTTGTATATTCTGCTTTTACTGTAATTAACATTTATATATCTATGCATTTTTTATACTGAATATATAGGTATCTTACTATTAATCGAAGACGCCGTATTTATACTAAATATAATTATTTATAATTCCTGATTTTTAATTTGATAAATGATGCTTTTTGAAATGTCCAATTTCATGTCTTTGTTACGACGACGTGTCTTGATAAGTGATATGGCTTGTACGTAATGCTCCTTCCTTTGAGAGGAACCATTCATTTTTAGTTGAATTTCACCGTTGCCTATACAAACTGAAATGGTGTTGAACATCCTACTGTTCATCGCCAACAGTGCATAGCCTAAACAAGTGATATGACTTGTACGTAATGCTCTATACTTTATTAGGACCCGTTTCTAGTTTAATTTCCCCATCCATACACATGTAATGTGGAATGCTCCATCCTTTATGAGGACATGTTTCTAGTTCAACTTGTAGCCTGTACATGTGTTGTAGCTTGTACCTAATTCTCCATCCTTTATGAGGACAGATTTTTAATTTCACCATCCATACACAAGTGATGTGGAATGTTCCATCCTTTATGAAAATATGAAAACATGTTTCTAGTTTTACTTGTAGCCTGTACAAGAGGCAATTCTCCATCCCAAATATCTCTTCTATCTCGACAGACAGATAATAAAAAAAACAAATTTCAAAAATTTAATTTCGTGGGGGGGAAAAACCTAACACCAAATGCGTTTCCCATTCTTCGTATATTGTGGTATGGGTCATCCTGAGATTAGCTATTACAGTAATATCCCAGAATGGTTAGAGCGTGCGCATTGTATCATAAGGTCTGTCATTGAGTCAACTGGCGCTGTTTCGATTCTACAGTTGTATGTGACAAGGATTAGGGTCGCCTGTCCAACCTCGTGGGTTTTCTCTGGTTTCCTCCCACTGCTAAAGATCCCTACAAGCAAGCGAATTATTGAAATAAAATTGAACCATAGGTTAGTCCCAAAATGACCTAATTTTTGTCGAATGGACGTTAAACCCCATTTCTCTCTCTCTCCCCGCTATTAAAATAATATCTGAGACCACTCTTTGCCGTTCTATTTTATTGTGACATTGTGACGAGACTAGAATTAAACATGTGAAGCAAGTGTACCATGTATGATATCTGCTTACAGTTAATCTGTCCATTAACTTCTCCAACAGGGTTGACAATCTTCCAGCCATATTGTATTTTAGTTACCATAGTTACACTGTAATATATTGCACTTTTAATTTAATAATGAATGAAATTTATTTTTGCTTGCCAATATTACAACAGTATTTACCTGCACAGACAATTTAATTACACACCTTTGTCATACTGTCATTCAAAATGACAAGTTTTTCTTCTGATTATTATGCTAATTAGACACGATGTTGCCGTGCAGAGGTTTGGTTATGCCCAGGGGGGCCAACTTCTTGATTATATGTACCGAAGATTTCAAGTACTCTGAAGACACTTTAAATATGTCTTAACAGATGAAATAAACTTTGAATTAAGTAGAGATGTCAATGTTGTAGAGAAATAGGTAAATACTGACTGTTGGAACAAGATTATTACTAGTGAGATGTTAATAGCCTACCTGACAGTGGAGGAGGCTCATTTTTTCATTCGTTCATGAGACTCAATGATAGAAAATTACTATAGGTACAAGGTTATCACCAGTGAGTTGCTGATAGCCTACCCGACAGTGGAAGAGGCTCTTACTATAGGTAGAAGATTATCACTAGTGGGTTGTTGATAGCCTACCTGACAGTGGAAAAGGCTCAACGATAGACACTTACTATAGGTACAAGATTATCACCAGTGGGTTGACAGTGGAAGAAGTTTGTTTAATCTTGTTAAACATCCGCTTCCCACTGAGATTTGTAAATAGTTCATATATCAGTTCCTGTAAATCTGTAAATATGCACACTGCCATTATAGATTATAGATTTAACTTTTAACAAAGAATTTAATAGAGTAGAAGCGTTGTAGAATCTAGTTTATGTAGTTTGATCATTACTGGCACAATCTCACTTCCGCCCCACCCCTCCTCCATTTCTTGCTTCTTTAAAATAAAACTATTATTGATTAACAATGCAGTGTAATTGATATGCTAAACAAGTACCACTGTACCATGGGCCAGGAATTGAATCTTGATATCATCGCATCCATCTTGGAATTTTGACATACATAAAATCGAAGCATGTCGATCAATGCGCAATTGTCAAAGGAACAAGCCATCTTGGAATTGTGACGTACAAAAAATCGAAGCATGTCGATCAATGCGCAATTTCGGAGGAACAAACGTGCCAAGTTTCATGTTGATCGTACATGTTTTGGCGGAGCCTTAGTCGTTATTGGTAGAGCATCGCCCCCAATAACAACAAGACCAAGATGAGTGGTTCTTTGGTTCCAGTTCCTGGTCCAGAACCTAATCATATAAACCTTTTCTTACGTTGTATTTTGTAGATTATAAAACCCGAGAATTATATACTGTAATATTTTATACCGTTGATTATATAATTCCCTGGTTTCAGTTATAACGGCCTTAGATTTAAAAACCATTTGTGCATTAATTATTTATTTTATTTACCAATGAATTAACCATTATTATACAGTGTCAGCTTTATACTATATCTATTTAATATTAATTCATATCATCTGTTTGTGTAAATGTTTGCAATATTGTACTTTCAAAATTGGTTTACTGGTTTTAAGGGGGGCTGGTCGATATGGAGTCGAAGCAGTGACTATGACGATGATTTTCTCGAACTCCATGGTGGGGGGTTGGGTGGCCAAATGGTCAACGTGTGAACTTTAGACCATAAGGTCTGTAATTGAGTCAATGACAGATCCTATGTGATCTAAAGCATACACATCAGACCGCCCAGTCATCCTTTTGTATTTTATATGATCTATGTTTAATATTAAACTTCTACCATTCCTTTACCTAATGCTCTATTTATTTCCTGTTGAATATTTATATCCTGGTGTATATCAGTTATACACTGGTGTATATCAGTTATATACTGGTGTTTATCAGATATAGACTGGTGTATATCAGTTATACACTGGTGTTTATCAGTTATACACTGGTGTTTATATACTGGTGTTTATCAGTTATATACTGGTGTATTTCAGTTATACACTGGTGTTTATCAGTTATATACTGGTGTTTATCAGTTATATACTGGTGTATATCAGTTATATACCGGTGTATATCAGTTATACACTGGTGTATATTAGTTATAAACCGGTGTATATTAGTTATGTACTGTTTATATCAGTTATATACTAGTGTATAATAGTTATATACTGGTGTATATTGGTTATATACTAGCAGATTTTGATTATTTTATTTATCATTGATTAATTTCAAACAAAATGAAGTTGAATGCTTCAGAAACAATTTTGTGCATTTTGCCTGGACAGCTGAATTTCAAACTGACGATGGACACTTTTTCTAATTCCATATGTCACAAGTGTGTGACTTTGTGACATAATCAATATTAAAGATAGGAGGTTTTACAACATCAAGAAACAATCCTTAAATAGAAAGGATGATTTAAGGGAAGTGCATAATGTATTTAATAATGATAAGGGTTATTTATGAAATTTTTACATCACATCACAAGAGTAACACAATGTTTTGAATGTTTTATAGTTCATTGTTCTGTCGACTTTTAAATGGAATAACTGATGATGCTTAATTTTGATAAGAATTAGAAATATGCTTTTATATATATATTTAGGTCTATTAATAACATGTTCATGACAAGTGTATCGTATCCTACATGATTAAGCTCAATATTTATTACATCGCGGCTTGCTCCTGTCTATGCTTGAAGTTGCGGATCCAGATAAAGGTCTTGACCTCCCTAAATAACAGTATATTAAATTCACTATTATTCTGTTTCGTTGAAACGTGTAAAGTGGAGTTTTTTGTAGATTGCAGTATTGTCAGATTTCAGTAGTCAGATTGTAGTATTGTCCGTTTGAAGTATAGTCAGATTGCAGTATAGTCAGATTGCAGTATTGTCAGATTGCAGCTGATGAAATTGAATGTTATATATTCGGGTACAGATATGCACCACAAATAACCACTGACAACCTGAATTTTCTAAATTTTGTGCAAGGAGGCTTCCAATCTGCATCTGTCACTGTACACTCGCTGCAAGGTGTTCCAGCGAGGTTTGCCTATTCACAGACTTGATTACCCTTAGTAAACAAGTGAACCCATGTAATATTTATACTTCTTAATCTGGACCAAGGAGAAAGCCATGGTGTGGAATATTTATATCTAGGTACTTTATATTTTGTAATCGTTAATGTCATTAACTAACAATAAAACTCAATGCATCAAATGTGCTTTCTAACCATGATTTTATTTTATATTAGTTATGTTCGGTGCTTTGTGTTTTCACAGATAAATGTTTGTGTTTATTTTCTCCTTGTTTCATCTGTAGAAATAAAATATTCATCTCTTGATAATCAACTTGGGTATTTTTTTTATGATGACAGAAAGGTTCAGCAGTGAGATGAATAAGTGGATTTAGTGTGCTCCAAAGCGAAAGAGAAACAGGGTTTAATGTCCACTCGACACAAATGACTTCATTTCGAGTCTAACATATGGTTCAATTTTATTTTAATAAGTTGCTTGTGTGTAGAGGTCTTTAGAAGTGGGAGGAAACTGGAGGACCCAGAAAAAACCCACGAGGTTGGACAGGCGACCCTACTCCTTGTCACGTACAACCGGGGAATCAAAACCATGCCAGTTGACTCAATGAGAGACCTTATAATACAGCCCGCACGCGCTAAGCATTCAGCCATCCACCCCCACCCCCATGTTCCAAAGCATGGACGCATCCAGTTGTTTATCTCTGATTAGCCTAAGCCGAAAATACCCATATCAACCTATCCAAGATTTTATTCGAACAATCATCTATACCAAGGTAGGACATTCTACCTTTATAAGAAGCCTGCTGGTTTCTGCCTTATTAGGTGAAGGCCTAGCAAGAAAGAGTTTATAGTCATTTGCTGGCCTGTTTGATTTCAAAATGTGTTTCTTAGTTTAAAAAATTTTCCTTTTGGCCTGCAACATGGAAATCTGGGCAAAATTTCCATCAGGATTTTCCAGTGTCATTTCCCCTTGTCAGTGCTGCGGGAAAGGGGGGGGGGGGTCTTCTATATCCGGGCTAATAAATAATAAAGATGGACATAAGCCATGCAGTCCAGAAGCGATAATACAGCCTACTCTTATTTCGAATTCCAACTGTCAAATTTGTACACAGAACTTTAGCTGCAGTTCCTTGCCAGATCCTTCATCCTGCAGCACTGACATGGGGAAACCATCTTCAAAAATCTTAAACTTTCTTGACCAACACTTGGAGCAAACAAAAGATCTTGGATAGCAAGACGGTTCCTTACCCTCCGAGCTGCCGCAGCTCCTGGAATTATTGAGGATAGAGACTCGATGATGGGATCAAATTTCACAAATTGCAAGACAACAAATAATATTTAAATACATTTATTATTAATGTAAGTTTTCTTTAACAACTTTTATTTATCAACAAACATTAAAAGATGTATTCCCTTGAAGATAATTAGGTCAACAAGCTAGTGCACCTGACAGGCACTTTTTATTCTTTATCTTGTACCCTTCTATAATATTAACCGGTGAGTATCCATTATACACTGATGTATATTAGTTATATACTAGTGAGTATCAGTTATACACTGGTGAATATCAGATATATATTGGTGTATATCAGTTATATACTGGTTTATATCAGATATACACTGGTGTATATCAGAATATACTAGTGAGTATCAGTTATATACTAGAGAGTATCAGTTATATACTAGAGAGTATCAGTTATACACTGGTTTATATCAGATATACACTGGTGTATATCAGTTATATACTGGTGTATATCAGTTAAATACTGGTGTTTATCAGTTATATACTGGTGAGTATCAGTTATACACTGGTGTATATCAGATATATACTGGTGTTTATCAGTTATACACTGGTGTATATCAGATATATCAGTTATAGACTGTCCAAAGATTTATTATGCTTTGTAATATACAAACAATATAATTCGCTCAGATCAAAATGAAAGTCCATATTTTGTTCATGTGGTTCATCATTACTGTTTAAATATTTTAAAACTTTTGAGGGCAGATATTACTTGTACAGCTGATTCAATGTGTATAATGACCAATAAATTCTGATATTTCATGAAGACCTGACGACATAGAGAATAACATGAATATCATTCTGTTCATCTAACCTTCATTCGATGTTTTCATGTAATTCTGTGAATCATTATTTAAACGGAAAAATGTACATAAATAACGTTTAACATCAAATGAAACTCCTATAAAAAAAAAGGTCATATACTTGGATTTATTTACATGAAAACTAAAAGATGGTTATTGCTATTCGCATTTTTTCGGAGAAGGTCAAATTTTCATGGCTCAATTTTTATGAAAGATGCATAAAGATGTAAGAGCTAAATCTGCTTACTGCCATGTCTTTCTTTTGGATTTAAATGTTATATAAACTATTAAATATTAAAACATTTAGTCACATGACAAGCCTATATTCAGCCCTCTAGACTATCGGATGGCCGAGATTAAAATGGATTAGAAAACCCGACAGAATTAAAAAATTTAACTGATAAAATGGATAATTGAGATTTAGTCTCGACTGTCCAGTACTGTTGCTACGGCAATAACCAATCTATGCTACATCTTGTCAAAACTTCAAACACTTATAACATCGCTTAGAATAAAGTAAGCTAAATAAAATTTTAGAGATATTAATTTCTCATGATCTATTTTTAAACGTGTTAGCAAGAACATCCAGCTCTTTATCTAAATCGTACATAAGGCATCTATAAGTATTGTTTTATTTTGATCGAGCACATGAATGTCACGAGAGTAGAATGTATTAATTACTGATCTAACAAAGCAAACACATAAAAGAGAGAGAGAGAGATTGGGGTTAACATCTATTTGACACAAACAAGGTCATTTCGGGACTAACATATGGTGCAATCTTATTTCAATAAATCACTTACGCGTAGGGGTCTTTCGCAGTGGGAGGAAACCGGAGAACCCAGAAAAAACCCATGGGGTTGAGTTAACCATTGAACCAACTACCCTACTCCAAGCAGGGAATTGAAATTGTGTCATTTGACTCAATAACAAATCTTACACGCACGCAGTAAACCATTTGGCCCCCCAATTTGATTAAAATACAGATCTATATTTCGTTTCATTTCATTTTTTTATACTTTCGATGGCCTACACTACATGAAGATCTGACCGGTTGTACTGGAACGTCGGGTCAGAGGTTGTATGAGTGGCTTTTGACCCTATGACGTCAGACATTGATTAATCAATCAGCTTTGACGTTTCTAGTGGGTTACCCACAGTTCCGTGCATCGCACGCCAAGAACTCGCTGTAACAGACCGTTTTATTGGCTAATCCCTTACTTCAACCAGATCTCCGGTAATATAACAACTCTTCCAAATCCTAGTGTAGTAAAGACAAAACGAAATTTTGAACTATAAAAAAATGAAACGAAATAGGATCTGTGTTTTAATCAGATTTAGCCACCCCCAGCCCTCTCTAAAAACATATAAAGCAAGGATAAATAAATAATACAATATTTACAAGCACAATATTATATGTATATTATTATGTACAAATTCATTACATTTTTAAAATCTATAAGTTTATTTAAAGCAGCGAGACCTCACTGATTTGTAAATGTTAAAGTTCAAGTGTTAATTTTATTACTACTTTGTTTTTCTGATTTGTGTTGTTTTGGGGTTTTTTTTTTGATTGATTCTTTCAAGTATGTTAAACCCTTAGCACTTGAATAAATACTGTTTTTTTTTATTGTAGAATACGCCAACAAAACAACCAAATCTTAAACATACATTATGCAAAAGATAAATCTACATACTGCAGGTCTTTCTTTAGGCCTTAAATGTTATCTAAACTATTAATTAGACATTTATTAACTTGCAAAGACCATAATCAACTGTCGATGCCATCGGATGCATGGATTTAAACAAGATAAGCTAATGATTCAACCCCAAAAAAATGGATCATTGAGACTTTGTTTACAATCGTAACAACGGTAGCAATGATAATTGAGACTGCTATTCTCTAAACAGCCCTAACTTAGCTTAGATTTTCATTTTCTATTTTTGAACTAGTACAGCGAGAACAGTCAGCTTTTTATCTAAATCTTAAATAATGTATCTTTAACTAAGTTTATGTTATCAACTTTCCACCATTTTAAATGTTGTAAATAATATCAGTTTCAACAATATGTTTGGTGATGCCCAGGGCCGAGGCCCTAGCCGACTCCTTGGTTGTATACACCCAAGACTCAAGAGATAGGAAGACACTGAGCAACCCTTGTGTTGGAGATGATAAATTATTATAATTATTATTTTGAATATGTCAGAACAGATGAAATAAACTTTTTTATTCCAATTAAGTTGGGCAGGTTATACAACAATGTTAACAGCTTTGATTGGGTTCCCCATAGAAATGGAGGCCACCGATCCCTTTGCTCGACCCTGTAGTATTATTAAATTATTAACATATAACTCACATTTAGTTTAAAATCATGAAATTACACCCCTCCCCCCACCACAAATTCTAAAATATCTGACCATATGTTAAGATTCTTACTCCACTCTAACATATACACATTTACATTTTACAAAATCCAGTCAGGATTGTGAATTTCTTTTTCATGGAATTCAAGAACTGCTCAACTTGTAACTGACCCATGCCTAAATACAATCACATCAAAATGCTGTTTTTTGGGTGTTTTTTTTAAACAAAATCCAGCCAAGGCAGTGAATCATTTCTCATTGTATTTAAGAATTGCTCTAAACTGTAACTGACCCACAGCCAAATTTACAACAGATGTAAAAAATTGTGTGTTTTGGGTCGTTTTTTTTTAAAATCCAGCCAGGGCAATAAATCATTTTTCCTTGAATTCAACAACTGATCTAACTTCTGAACAACAGTCTAAATAGTGGTTTTTTTTGGGTTTTTTTTAAAACCAGCCTGAGCAGTAAATCATTTTCCCTTGAATTCAACAACTGCTCAAACTTCTGACCAACAGCCCAAATAGTGTCAATGTATTTTTTTTTTTAAACATCGACACAATAAAATATTAATAGTATTTTAAATAGTATATTTTATGTTGAGCATTACAAACAACTGTTTGAAAATTGAGTAAATCTTGAGCCAAGTAAGGTAATCCATGTAATAACCAATGTACTGGTTAATAAAGATATCCATGTTAACTATATAACAATGTAATGTGTATTTAATTCAATTAATGTTAGATAATGTGTATTGTAATTTATGTTTATTGAACTTATTTCAATTCATGTTAGATAATGTGTATTGTAATTAATTCAATTAATGTTAGATAATGTGTATTGAATTTATTTTAATTAATGTTAGATAATGTGTACTGAACTTATTGTAATTAATGTTAGATAATGTGTATTGTACTTATTGTAATTGATGTTAGATAATGTGTATTGTAATTGATGTTAGATAGTGTGTATTGTAATTGATGTTAGATAATGTGTATTGTAATTCATGTTAGATAATGTGTATTGTAATTAATGTTAAATAATGTGTATTGTAAAAGATGTTAGATAATATGTATGTGTATTGTAATTATTTCAATTAATGCTAGATAATGTGTATTGTAATTTATGTTAGATTGTGTGTATTGTAATTAATTCAATTTATGTAAGATAATGTGTATTGTAATTAATGTTGGATAATGTGTATTGTAATTAATGTTAGATAATATGTCAGTCTTGTGACCTGTTTTTTAATTCTTACAACAAATGTATCACTAGAAGAATGGCCACCTGATTTATTACTGTTGGTTAGTTTATTTTCTAACATGTGTACTAAGATTTAATAGAATTATGCCATGTTAAATTCAATCTGATTATAACACAGATCTATATTTCGTGTCTTTTATTTTTATACTTTCGATGGCCTCTACTACACGAAGATCTGACCGTTTGTAGTGGAAGGTTGCATCAGAGGTCATATCCGCGTTGATGTTTCTAGTGGGTTACCCACAGTTCTGTGCACCTCAAACCAAAAACTTGCCGTAACAGACCATTTCATTGGTTAATCCTTCACATCAACCAGAATGCAGGTTATATAACAACTTTCCAGATCCTAGTGTAGTAAAGACAAGTAAAAGGAAATTTTGAACTATAAAAAACGAAACGAAATTTGATCTGTGTTTTAATCAGATTGTGTTAAATTATCCATTTTACAAACAACATCTTATTTTAATTAAGATTTGATTAGAGAATCTGTAATTTGAGAGAATTATGCTATGTTAGATCCGTTTTAATTTACTCCTTGTCTTTGGGTTGAATCCAGACCTGCCATCCGAGGACTTGACGATCAAAACCACATGTAAATAGATTGGTTGATGTGTCGGCAGCCCAGCTGACTGACGTAACCATCCGAGTATGACCCTGAAACAAAAACAATGTAGTGAAATTATTACTTTAGAACGAAGCCTGGACATAGCCACCAGTCACAGACTTCGTCAGACACAAATTATAATATATGCAATACATTGTGTGATAATTTGTGTCTGACAAAGTCTGCAACAGGTATCTTTGTTACACAATGATTAAAATATCCTTGTCGGCTATTGACATCCATGGTTTTCCATGGCTGGCCTGTGTTATGTAATGTCCTTTGTCTTGGTATGATGCAATAGCCAGATGTGTAATCTTGTCAGATTCTTTGTCTAGAAGGGGGGATTATGAGCAGGAATCCAAAGGGGATTATTCAGTCAAGGTGAGAGCGTCTGAGTTAGGACCGGAGAGAGCGGACATCATGTAAGTTAGTTGGGAGTTGGTACCCAAGGGTGCCAAGCAAAGCTAGAACCATGTCTCCCTCGACACAAGCTAATTACGGAGTCTTTAACTATAGGGAGTTTTGTACTTGATATGTTTGAAGAACAATAAAAGTATCATATGAAGTTAAACCAATGTTGTCATCATAAAGAACAAATACTGTAACACCTTTTATCCGACCTTGTTTATAACAGACATAAATATAAAGACAAGAAATGTGGCCTAGCAAGGAAGCATCTAATCATTCAGATGGCATGAAAAACTCAAGGCCCTGTGTACATGTTGATTTGTATGTAGCCACTTGAATTTAAAACTGGACTCATCTTTTACTGAGTGTAACATCATGAATTTGGGCTTGTACCCAATCAAAATTAGTGTCGAAATATGCAGGGTATTACGTGAAGGCCTTGATAAGATGTACGGAGTTAAAGCGAGATCAAGTCTTTTATTGAAGATATGACCCTACAGTTGAATTCAACCTCGATGGACGATGGTCTAGAGATTTAACGTCTACCCAACAGTTGAATTCAACCTCGATGGACAATATACGATGGTCTATTCCTCAACCATTCAAATGGAGATTTAATGTCTACCCAACAGTTGAATTCAACCTCGATGAACAGTATACGATGGTCTATTCCCCAACTACTCAATTCAACCTTGATGGACAGTATACGATAGACAAGAGAAGATTTAATGTTATATAATTAAATACCTGTCTACTAGATCTGGGCAGACGTCCAATTCTGTTACCATTTATATCACATAATTTAACGTGCCGATTATCTTGTGGAATGGCTATAATCTGAGTCGCATCACAAACTGCTAATCTGCAATATAAATAAAATTATCGATCAATTTATCACTTGGGTCATCGACATCACACACCATTGGATTCATTAGGTCGTTTGGTGCAAAAAATTTGGATCTTAAACCCCATTACATTTCATATGTACGCCTAGTTAGTTACGTCTTCATTAGCCCAGTCAGAGCAGAACAGTAGGATGTTAAACCCCATTTCGTTTCATTTTGCTTGCAATCTGATTAAAATACAGATCTATATTTCGTTTCGTTTTTTATACTTTCGATGGCCTACACTATATGAAGATATGACCAGTTGTACTGGAAGGTCGCGCCATAGGTCATACAAGCGGCTTTTGACCCTGTGACGTCACACATTTGATTAACCAGTCAACGTTGATGTTTCTAGTGGGTTACCCACAATTCTGTGCACCTCACGCCTAAAGCTCGACTTAACAGACCGTTTCACTGGCTAATCCCTCACATGATCCTCGTGGGTTATATAACAACTCTTTCAGATCATAGTGTAGTAAAGACAAGTAAAATGAAATTTTGAACTGTAAAAACGAAACGAAAAATAGTCATGGCAAACAAATTTCCACCAAATTTCAACGGAAGGACACACAATGTCCACTATTGTTTGTAAGTTTATAACAGGTACCTGTTGATGGCTGAATCACACTGAATGGTTGCTATGGGCGATCTCATATTTCGTAAATCCCAGATTTTAGCACGTCTGTCATCACTACCAGATATAACACGATCGTTACTAGCAAATACAGCCGTAGTTACTGGTCTGAAAAATATAATTGCGAACAGACAAGATTTATATAAGAAATAAGAGAGAGAGAGAGAGAGAGAGAGAGAGAGAGTAGATCATTGTCAGGTATAAGCTGGGAATTGAGACCAGACCACTTGACTCAATTACAATAGAATCTGTATTAAGCAGCCACTCAAGGAAATATTACACTTGGATGCATTGGGAGCAAACATCAATACTTGCATCAGTAAATTTGGCTGTCGCTGAAACTTGCTTAGAACGAAAATTATTTGACACAAATCTCTGATATATCTTTTGTAAACATGTCATTTTGTACCAACATTGATACTACTGTCTACCATTGTGATGCATTCAATAATATTTACCCATTTTTGTGAAGAAAATCCATGAATTGATTTTATTTTATCAAAAAAGCACATTTCACCAATTTTCAAGGGGGTGTAACTATGTATGTAATATAAAGCCCGGCCCATACTGTCACGACTTGCCCAGACTCTACCCAACGCAATGTCTTGTCTCAGATAATCAGTGCAGTGTGGACAGTCCCACGACCACGAATCTATCGATTTCCGTCGCGTCATGGCCGTCGGCCCGATTGAACATGTTCAATCATAGTCGGATGCAGTTGGTTGCAGTCGTAACTTATGGTGTTTGTGTGGACACTCAAACGACGCGATCAACTGTCTTACTTTTATGCTTCCGGTTTACTTTTGGAATCACTCGCTAGAGGGAAGTGGCGTAACTCACGACGCATAATCTGTGAGAGTCGGGCTGTGTGGACTGGTAATATCGTAGGCAAGTGAAGTAAAGGCGCGACCCGATTTTTTTTTACAACTATCCAGGACACTGAGTCCTGTCGGCTTGTGTGTAGTAGTAGCGGTATGCGCCCGGCTTAAGAGGCGCTAAAACTTCTGTTTAGCAACAAAGTGGAAAATGGATACTAGATGATCGAGACAAAACTCTTAGTTTATCAAATCAGTATCAAATAATGTGTCGTTACGTGTGAAAACATTGATCAGGATTTGTCATTTAATAAAACAAAAAATCAAGTAACAGATAATCCCGGGTTTATTGTTATTTAAACAGTTCGTTTAACCTGATCCATGGGTGGGGGGGGGGGGGGCTAGATAATTAACTATTAATCACAGGATTAGCGGAGGTGCTACGAAGTACGACAAGATGGTATCATTCAACAATGGCCATTGAATGGGCGATGTTTTTTAAAATTTATTAATAACATAGTGACCGCTGGCCGTGACCGTTGATTAAAGAGATGAAACAATAAAATTTCTATGGGGGGAATTAACTGTGACCGCTTACAAGAGATGTCGCTGTACATTCTTTATGATATAAATCGTATGCGTTAGAACGCTTGACCAACTGATCACCGTTGATTTAAAAGGCCTTATTTGACTTCTATAGAGAAAGTACAACTTACTGTGTATGTCCTTGAAATACGTTAACCAACATGGCCGGTGCACGGAAATCCCACAGTCGAAATGTTGTATCTTTAGAACATGTGACGGCCATTCTCTGTGACGGGTGAGCTTCTACTTCTGTTAATTCTTGATCATGACCTGTTTATATATATATATATAAATAAAATTTTGTTTAACGTCCTATTGTTGAGCATCGACAGGGATAATAAAGACGGGCATGAAATGGGGTTTAACGTCCTACTGTTCTGCTCTGACTGGGCTACTAAAGACGGTCATACGCCATGCAGTGTGCTATGAGGGAAATTTTGCCCCGAGAGCAGTGTATATTTATTGTCCTGTTAGGTTTTATGAAAAGGAAATCTTTAGAGTGGACTATGGTTTATTTACGGCATAAATTGAGTAAAGTTACAGGTGTGTAACTGGGATGATAATAGTAAGTGCAGGAGGACCACACTACATGCAAAACAAAAACTTACAAGACAAACCTGTGGACACGACAAACTAGACACACATTTCAAGACATAAACAATAAATATCAACTCAAGTGAATTGATCCAGGGGCCAACCATAAGCATCCAGTACGCAGGGCTTCTCGCAAAATAAATAAAAATATGATTCACAATAAATTCTTAACAGAAATAATGCGACCAATATTGACGGTGGTCATCCCTTGAATTGCGATAGTCTGCCAGATGACGTCACGAGTTACAATATTTAATAATTTTAACAATAAGAAGATAATCTGGATAGAACACCACGAAACCTACCTGTTAGAGTATTTATTATCTCCCCTGATTCTGTATCGTGTAAAATAGCCGTTCTATCCCATGATGCTGTAACAGCTTGTGTTCCTCCAGCCATCCAATCAGCTGCTATAATAACACCCACATGACCAGACAACTCCATTAAAGGTGATCTCTGCGTAACGCAATCAGTAACTTGATCTTGATCTACAAATACATCAAATTATCAAACTTTGAATAGGACAGACGATAATTAAAACAATCTCAGCGGTGTAGGACGCAGAGTCTTGACATGAAACAGCGTCTAGTCATTTGAATGGGAAAGAAACCTAGGTCCCATGTACACACTTAAATTTACTCTTGACAGTTGGAATTTGAAATAAGAGTAGGCAGAAAATTACCCTCATATTAGACTGTATGGCGTGATAATTGTCTAATTCACGGCTACAATTGAAACACACAACAAGCCTTTGTGCAAGTGAAATGAAATGGGGTTTGACGTCTAATGAAGACTAGCATACGCCATACAGTATGCTATATGAGGGAAATTTTGTCCGGGCAGCGGCACTATGGCCTATCGAATTCCAGCTGCCAAGAGATCTTTTACAAGCACGCCAATGTACACACAGGGCCTCAGTTTTTTGTCCCAACCGAACAACTAGACAGCTGTCCTTGTCAGACGCTTCTTCCTGCATCACTGACAAGGGGAAACCATGTCGGAAAATCCTGATGAACTATCTCGGCCAATGCAAAATTTTCATACATCATCACGGTTTGCATGGAAATAAGTAAATATGTTAAAAAATAGTGAAGAGTTGAACACTGAAATAGTTACCAAACAGTTTTTGTATATTTCGAGGTGACGTGAAATCATGTGCATGTCCAATTCTGGTTCGGCAGCCATTTTAAACACGACAGAAATATTGCTTAGCCACTGGATGTTTATTAAATTTATGAATTTATGTACCTTTAATTAAAAAGTTTTTTAATTGGTTTATTATATGTGGAGTAGAGTTTGGGGTCAGTTTAATTGGAAGTTACAATTGGGAGTTATAGGCCAGTAATTATTTTGTCCTTAGAACGATCCATTACTGTGGCTGGAGCAAGACGGAAGACATCAGTAGTGGAACCATTTATATGTATGGCATCTGCCTGTTTTTGTTAACCAAGACCACTTGATACCACCTCAGATAAGGACTTGACATTTGTTTTAGATATAAAATATAATTTACCTTCCATCATTTCTTCTTTCTCTGATCCATCGAGATCATCTTCACCAGATGAATGAGATTTCTACAATAAACAAAACACAATAATTATTCCAACTTCCAAACCAGTTTTAAATATTAGTCACTTACGAAAAAAAGAAATTTTTAGCAAAATTCTAGTCACAGTGATTTTCAGAGGAGGAAGAGCGAACTTTACATCTGCAACTATATATAATGGTGGGTAACTTTTGGTTTTAATATGATAAAACTCTTTTTATTATGATAAAACTCTCTTTATTTATGATAAAACTCTCTTTATTATGATAAAACTCTCCTTATTATGATAAAACTCTCCTTATTATGATAAAACTCTCTTTATTATGATGTAACTCTCTTTATTGTGATAAAGCTCTCTTTATTATGATAAAACTCTCTTTATTATGATAAAGCTCTCCTTATTATGATAAAACTCCTTATTATGATAAAACTCTCCTTATTATGATAAAACTCTCTTTATTGTGATAAAACTCTCTTTATTATGATAAAACTCTCTTTATTATGATAAAACTCTCCTTATTATGATAAAACTCTCTTTATTATGATATAACTCTCCTTATTATGATAAAACTCTCTTTATTATGATAAAACTCTCTTTATTATGATAAAACTCTCTTTATTATGATAAAACTCTCTTTATGATAAAACTCTCTTTATTATGATAAAACTCTCTTTATTATGATAAAACTCTCTTTATTATGATATAACTCTCCTTATTATGATAAAACTCTCTTTATTATGATAAAACTCTCTTTATTATGATATAACTCTCCTTATTATGATAAAACTCTCTTTATTATGATAAAACTCTCTTTATTATGATATAACTCTCCTTATTATGATAAAACTCTCTTTATTATGATAAAACTCTCTTTATTATGATATAACTCTCCTTATTATGATAAAACTCTCCTTATTATGATAAATCTCTCTTTATTTATGATAAAACTCTATTTACCAAATCCCTCACCTTGTGGAGAGTTTTTTTTCAGGAAAGCCATGTTTACTTTATAAATTAAGGACAGCTCTATTCATCCCACCAGCAGCCAAATATAGATAAAAATAACTGTGACTTCAATATTACTTACCACAACTTCTCCGTGAGAAGGTAGAGTCACCTGACTACTCCATATATGGGCACGTTCATCACCTGACCCTGTCAATACCAAGTCCTTATTAGGATGAAACCTAATAGAGTTTACTGATCCCTGATGTCCAGTGTAACGCAGTAAACATATTCCAGTTTCAATAGAAAATAATCTCGCTGTATGATCTGAAATAAACAGAGAACTGTTAAACTATATCCCAAGAGAGAGAGAGAGCGAGAAAGAGAGCGAGAGAGAGAGAGAGAGAGAGAGAGAGAGGGAGGGAGAGAGCGAGAGAGAGATAGAGAGGGAGGGAGAGAGAGAGAGCGAGAGAGAGAAAGAGAGGGAGAGATAGAGAGAGAAAGGGAGGGAGAGAGAGGGAGAGAGAGAGAGAGAGAGAGAGAGCGAGAGCGAGAGAGAGAGATGAGCTTTAATTTTCCACTTGACACAAACTAGGTCAATTCGAGACTAACATATGGTTCAGTTTTAATTCAATAATTTGCATGCGCGTAGGGGTCCTTAGCAGTGGGAGGAAACCCGAGGACCCAGAGAAAACCAATGAGGTTGGACAGACACCCTACTCCTTGTCACGTATAACTGGAGAATTAAAACTATGCCAGTTGACTCAATGACAGACTTTATGGTGCAGCCAGCACACGCTAACCATGCTGCCATCCAACCCGCATTTACAAAAAGGGGCTGATAAAAAGGAATATATTAATAGTATTAGTCAAATTACACTAGGCAAAAATGTCAGGGTATCACTAAATGTCAAAATAATAATTTATAAAACATTTGAAGACAGATAAATATCATGCAGTTGGAAAATTTAGCTCTCACATAATGGATCTTTAACAAGAGAGAGAGAGAAAAATGGGGTTTAACGTCCACTCGACATAAATATGTCATTTCGGGACTAACATAGGGATCTTTAGTGGGGGGAGGAAACCGGAGGACCCGGAGAAAACCACGAGGTTGGACAGGTGACCCTACTACTTGTCACATACAACCGGGGAATTGAAACCATGCAAGTTGACTCAATGGCCTTCTAATACAGCGCGCATATGCTAACCATTCAGCCATCCAGCCCCCCGATCTTTAACTAAGCTAAATGTGTATTTTATATAAAGCGTATGATTTACCTGCAGACGCTGTTCCAATAACGTGAGGATCTGACTTGGAGAGTTTGACCTCCCACACGCCATCTCGATGTCCACGATAATCTCGTACGTACGTAAACGAGGATGTCGGAGCACGGAAACTAGAAACTATTTTACTAGTAGAAACTTTGTATGTAGTTTTAATCTTCTGTGAAATCTGACTTGCTGCTGAAATGAGAAATAAATTGATCAACTGGGCAATATTCTAGCGGTTCATTAATAAAACATTTCTCTAGGGGTGTAACTACTAAGTAGGCCTTTCATAATAAGTGAGTCTTTAATGGTAAGCGAGTCTTTAACGGTAAGCGAGTCTCTCTAATAGTCTTTAATGGTAAGTGAGCCTCTCTAATAGTCTTTAATGGTAAGCGAGTCTCTCTAATAGTCTTTAATGGTAAGCGAGTCTCTCTAATAGTCTTTAACGGTAAGCGAGCCTCTCTAATAGTCTTTAACGGTAAGCGAGTCTCTCTAATAGTCTTTAATGGTAAGTGAGCCTCTCTAATAGTCTTTAATGGTAAGCGAGTCTCTCTAATAGTCTTTAATGGTAAGCGAGTCTCTCTAATAGTCTTTAACGGTAAGCGAGCCTCTCTAATAGTCTTTAACGGTAAGCGAGTCTCTCTAATAGTCTTTAATGGTAAGTGAGCCTCTCTAATAGTCTTTAATGGTAAGTGAGTCTCTCTAATAGTCTTTAATGGTAAGCGAGTCTCTCTAATAGTCTTTAATGGTAAGTGAGCCTCTCTAATAGTCTTTAATGGTAAGTGAGTCTCTCTAATAGTCTTTAATGGTAAGTGAGCCTCTCAAATAGTCTTTAATGGTAAGTGAGTCTCTCTAATAGTCTTTAATGGTAAGTGAGCCTCTCTAATAGTCTTTAATGGTAAGTGTGTCTCTCTAATAGTCTTCAATGGTAAGTGAGTCTCTCTAATAGTCTTTAATGGTAAGTGAGTCTCTCTAATAGTCTTTAATGGTAAGTGAGTCTCTCTAATAGTCTTCAATGGTAAGTGAGCCTCTCTAATAGTCTTTAATGGTAAGTGAGTCTCTCTAAAAGTCTTTAATGGTAAGTGAGTCTCTCTAATAGTCTTTAATGGTAAGCGAACCTCTCTAATAGTCTTTAATGGTAAGCGAACCTCTCTAATAGTCTTTAATGGTAAGCGAACCTCTCTAATAGTCTTTAATGGTAAGTGAGTCTCTCTAATAGTCTTTAATGGTAAGTGAGCCTCTCTAATAATCTTTAACGGTAAGCGAGTCTCTCTAATAGTCTTTAATGGTAAGCGAGTCTCTCTAATAGTCTTTAATGGTAAGTGAGCCTCTCTAATAGTCTTTAATGGTAAGTGAGTCTCTCTAATAGTCTTTAATGGTAAGCGAGTCTCTCTAATAGTCTTTAATGGTAAGTGAGCCTCTCAAATAGTCTTTAATGGTAAGTGAGTCTCTCTAATAGTCTTTAATGGTAAGTGAGCCTCTTTAATAGTCTTTAATGGTAAGTGAGCCTCTCTAATAGTCTTTAATGGTAAGTGAGCCTCTCTAATAGTCTTTAATGGTAAGTGAGTCTCTCTAATAGTCTTTAATGGTAAGTGAGTCTCTCTAATAGTCTTTAATGGTAAGTGAGTCTCTCTAATAGTCTTTAATGGTAAGTGAGCCTCTCAAATAGTCTTTAATGGTAAGTGAGCCTCTCTAATAGTCTTTAATGGGAGAGAGAGAGAGAAATGGGGTTTAACGTCCACTCGACACAAATTAGGTCATTTCGGGACTAACACATGGTTCAATTTTATTTCAATAACTCGCTTGCGCGTATGGGTCTTTTTTTTAGCAGTGGGAGGAAACCGGAGGACCCGGAGAAAACCCACTAGGTTGGACAGGCGACCGAACTCCTTGTCACGTACACCCCAGTCTTCAATGGTAAGCGAGTCTCTCTAATAGTCTTTAATGGTTAGCGAGTCTCTCTAATAGTATTTAATGGTAAGTGAGTGTCTCTAATCCTTTGTTGGTATCTACTCAAAGGTGGACCTTTAAATAAGTGGACCTTTGATATTAAGTGGACATTTAATACTAATTGGGCCTTTAATACTAAATGGGTCTTTAATTTTAAGTGGATCTTTAATACTAAATTGGTCTCTAATTTCAAGTGGATCTTTAATACTAATTGGGTCTTTAATTTTAAGTGGGCAGATTAATACTAAGCTGGTTTTAATTAAATATTAAGTGGGCCTTTAACAATAAGTGAGTCTTTAATACTAAGTGGGTCTTTAATGCTAATGGGACCTCTAATGATTTGTTGGTATTTAATAAAAGTGGGCCTTTAACAACATGTGAGTCTTTTAATACTAAGTGGGTCTTTAGTACTAAGTAGGTCTTTAATTCTAAGTGTGCCTTTAGTACTAAATGGACCTTTAATAATTTGCCTGTCTTTGAAATTCAATGGGCCTCTAATATTAATTGGACCTTTAATACTAATTGGGTCTTTTATTTTAAGTGGGTCTTTAATACTAAGCGGGTTTTCAATATCAAATGGACCTTTAATACTAAGAGGGTCATTGAAACTAGGTTGGCCTTTAATACTAAGTTGGTCTTTTATTTTAAGTGGGTCTTTAATACTAAGCGGGTTTTCAATATCAAATGGACCTTTAATACTAAGAGGGTCATTGAAACTAGGTTGGCCTTTAATACTAAGTTGGTGGGCCTTTAAGGCCTTTAACAGTAGGTAGGCCTTAAAGGCCCTTAATACTAAATGGTGAATATGAGAGAAATATACTTACATCGTTTAGGTTTTGATCCTAGATCTGGTGTATCCTGTGAATCAATCAATTGTTTATCAGATGTCGAACTAACTTCTATCTTTTCATTTAATGCATCAACTCTTTCTTGTACTAAAATACACAATAGTTTTATTTAAATGTGCTGCCCTTGTCTGATATTAGGAATGGTAATCAAATACCACGATGTAGCCTCTTTACTGTACCAGTCTGATTATAACACAGATCCTATTTCGTTTTGCTTTTTTTTATAGTTCAAAATTTCATTTTACTTGTCTTTATTACACTAGGATCTAGAAGAGTTGTTATATAACCCGCATTCTGGATGATGTGAGGGATTAGCCAATGAAACAATCTGTTACGGCGAGTTTTTGGTGTGAGGTGCACGGACCTTTGGGTAACCCACTAAAAACATCAACACTGATTGGTTAATCAAATGTATGACATAATAGGGTCAAAAGCCACTCATATGACCCTTGACACGATCTTCCACTACAACTGGTCAGATCTACATGTAGTGTAGGCCATCGAAAGAGAGAGAGAGAGAGAAATGGGGTTTAATGTCCACTCGACACAAACTAGGTCATTTCGGGACTAACACATGGTTCAATTTTATTTCAATAATTCGCTTGCACGTAGGGGTCTTTAGCAGTGGGAGGAAACCGGAGGACCCGGAGAAAACCCACGAAAGTATAAAAAAATTGAAACGAAATATAGATCTGTATTTCAATCAAATTGTTGCTCTACCTTCGATGAAGCACATAATACTGATGTGTTTCTAACATTGGGCTAACATAGGAAAACAGAACAATAGTATCAAAGCATGTTCCTGAAGCAACGACCACGATTTTTAAATGTACGTAGTTAAGGCAAGATCAAGCCTTCTATTGAAGATGGTATTAAAGTAGCTAGGTCTCTAACTGAATAACATCCAAAGTCTTCAACATTGAAAATACAAATTATTTGTCAATTTAAAGTAGCTAAGTCTCTAACTCCATATCATCCAAAGTCTTCAACATTGAAAACACAAATTATTTGTCAATTTAAATCAACATTGATGTTGTGATCTTACCAGGAAAAGATGGGCTTCTGATATCTAATATTAAAACAAAATAAACATTTTACCATTGGTACACGAATCGTGTCCCATAATGCGTTTCAGTACCATTTGTAACAAGGGACTCAAAGAACGAGGCTAGACATATTCCACAAGTCATTTCAAACGGGGACGCCATATTCTTATCTGGAGGGCATACGCTGTCGGTGTAGACTGGAAAAACCAGACGCTAGGGTGCCATTCGATTGAGACTTTTGGCGTATTTCGTCAAACATAACTTAAACTGATTTGAAATTAGAGTCAAAATAAAAACGCTTGAATATAAATTAGTTTATATACATTAAAGGGACAATAACACTCTTGCTGGCTTGACAGCTCCAGAAAATAAAAAAATAGCCTTATTCTAAGTACTAGATGTGTTAGTGTCCTACCTGTTGTGTAAATTATCCATTAAATCCTGTTTTACTTGTCCAGAGGGTTCAAAAATATTTTTAAATCCAAGTAACATTTGAAAAGCTTTACGTCAGGCTTTTCAAATCATTTAGTTGAATTTTTCCAATTTTTTAAATTAGGTGGATAAGATGAAATTTGTATCATCAATTAATTGGAATATTGTAAATAGTACAAGTCACATTTGAAAAGCTTTACGTCAGGCTTTTCAAATCATTTAGTTTAAATTAGGTGTGTTAAGATGAAATTTGTATCATCAATTAATTGGAATATTGTAAAATTGTACAATTTGTTGACCAGAATAAACATTGGGACATATTATTCAGTTACAACAAGAGTGGTATAGAGCCTTTAATATTACATTATTATATGCTTTGCAACCCATGGTGACCATATAAGGATGTACAGACATAAGTCATGACCATATAAGGGATACTTACATGTTATATTTGCAGTATACAACGTATCAAATTCTTTTTCAATCTGACCGAATAAATCATATAGTCTGTCTCTATAACAACAATAAATACATGACATCATAAATACACAAACTTCCAGCAAAAATAAAATAATGGGGTTTTATTTCAATAATTCACTTGCTCGTAGGGATCTTTAGAACCCAAAGAAAACCGACGAGGCTGGACAGGCAACACAAGCGGAGAATTCAAACCACGCCACTTGACTCAATGACAGATCTTACGATTTCACATGCCCACGTTAAACCACAAGACCACCCCCCTACAAGAAATTCAATCATACAGCGTCTAAAGGACATGGAATTTATGTTAGAAGACAATTATTTAGATTTTTATTACGGTCATATTTGCCTTTTGTCATCCCTTTTTTCTGACTGATTGCTTAAATGCAGTTTATGGGTTAAAAAATGTCCATACCATACCAACACTTTCAAATACTACAAATGCACTAAATTTTTGTGTTAAAAAACTAAAATATATGTCCGGAATATACGAGCGAAATCCCATCACTGGTTTATACGTTCAGACAATGAAAAACTGACCCCATGATCGGTTTATTGGTAAGTCTCGATGTGCCATTTGCATCTTTGCTAGAATATCAAATTTCTCACAGCGTAGTACATGCTAACTATGTACTTAGATTGATTATTTAACATTTAAAGATGCATTATGGGAAATTAGATAAAGAGCTGACAGTTCTCACTGTAATAGTTCAAAAATAGATAATGTAAAGGGAATTTACTGAACATTTCAGTCTAATTGCTCCACTCTGAACCGAGAATTTAGCTTTTGAATTTTGGGCCTAGCCTCAATGATCATTACTAAAGTTGGTACGATAAATTTCATAAAATACATAGTCTTGATTATCCATTTCTTGATTTAATCATGAATGAATGTAGAGCAGCAGATAGGATTCTAATCAAGAAAATATTGCTGGCTAGCGTTGACATCGAGAGTTGATTAAGGTCTGGATCAGTTAATTAATGTCTAATTAATACTTTAGATAACATTTCAGGCCTAAAGTAAGATCTGCAATAGGCAGATTTAGCTCTTGCATAATGTATGTTTAATTAAGAAAATCAAACCAAAATACCAATAAACGATGGTGGTGAGCAGCATAGATCGATGAAATTTCAACTTATCATAACTTTGTAAATACTGAATTGAACCACTGTTAGACTGATATTCCTATTAGAGATTCAACTTTCAAAATATTGTAGTTTGCACGGGATTCATATAGTGCTAAATGACACATCAGGCCTTTAAATTTATACATTAAATTTAATTTAAAATGAAATGAAAGGGGTTTAACCGTGTAACGCCCTACAATTCTGCACTGACCGTGCTAATGAAGATGTAGGTACATTAAATTGAATTTAAATAAATAGATAGATAAAATAAAATAAAATAAATAAATAAATAAATAAATAAATGAATAAATGAATAAATGAATAAATGAATGAATGTCAAACAACATATATATGTACCAGTGTTTAATTATCTAGAGTAAGTCAATAACTTTTGTCCCTTGAGAAATAAAATGTCTGAAATAGATATCTGTTCTTATATATATATACCTCCACTCATGAATAAATAACCAGATGATACATAAAACCACATGTCTAAATATACAATAAATACTTAATTAATAGTTCAACTTCATTTCTAAATATAATAATAATAATAATAAATTATGAATTTGTAGAGTGCAATTCTTTCCAGTAAACTGCTCAAGAGCGCTAGTCATATATTTGCTTGAAGATTGATGTCTTTAGCTGTGATTTAAAATATACAATAAATACTTAATTAATAGTTCAACTTCATTTTGTGACTTTGTTTTGTCAATCTTCAATCTCAGCTCAGTTAAGAACTCCTCTTTTCAAAATTCATTACAAAATTTGTCAAAAAAAATAATTACTGAGCAAGTGAACTTTTGTATATAGTTTTGTATGCACTATTAGCAATTTGTAGATTTGACACCATATAAATAGACATATTATTATTATTATCAAATAACCCCAAAAAACATAATCCATGCACCCTGATCTTATGTAAGCCTAAACAAAACTCAACAAAAACAATTTTATATTTAATTAATAAACCCAATCTCTTGATTCAATAAGTTTTTATTGATTAATATTACCTTAATGCAGACGGCATGCCATCTGTCTCCACATCGTCACGGTAACGACTCATGCTAGGACGGTCGGTGTGGGTACCCTCTGTATGACTTCTGTGCCTTCTGATCATGCGAACTCCTTTAGATTTGGTTGCCTTGGTAATGCCTTCAACAGGCATGATGGGTGACGCGAGACTTGTTGAATGGGAATTGCGATCCCTTAGCTGGTGTCCGATTACTTGATCAATTATTCATATAATCCTCGTTATTGAGTCGTTACGAAGTACAAACTCGACTGGTACAGAAATAAAATTGAATTCTCCACGGCTGAAAGAAAAGAACAGATCTCAATACTATATGGTACTTGCTGAAGAAGTTTAGCAGATCAATACGGCAAGGAGGGGAGGGGAGGTTAAAGGTCATATGATTGAAAAGAATTGAAGCGTTTGTAATTACTGTGTTCATTCTGTGGTCTCTAGATATCAATTATCCACGAACCAAAATACGTCATAGTATCACGTCCTCTACGTCTTACTCTCTAAACCAATAATTGATTATTCTTTCATCTTGTTTTAAACTCTGTAATTACAGATCTTCGCTGTTTCGTAATTTAACTTAAATTAGACTTTTTTGTAAAGTTTTAGTTAAGTTCAAACTCCAAACTCATCTATTATTACATTTCCACTTGCACAATAACAAGTCTTCTGTTTCATGTAGGCGTCATGGAAAGACGTATATGTACAAATAAAAAAAAGGTTTAACATCCTACTGTTCTGCTCTCACTGGGTTTATGGAGAGAGAGAGAGAGAGAGAGAGAGAGAGAGAGCAAACAAAAGTATTCTGATCACAAATCTCCTCCGATTTTCAACACTAAGCTTCACTATATGATGCTAGTCCTTATGTTGTGGCTAGTAGACCAGAGAGACAGAGAGAGAGAAAGAGACAGAGAGAAGGGGTTTAATGTTCACTTGACACAAACTAGGTCATTTTGGGACTAACACATGGTTCAAATTTATTTAAATAATTCCCTTGCGTGTAGGGATCTTTAGCAGTGGAAGGAAACTGGAGGACCCGGAGAAAACCCACGAGGTTGGACAGGCGACCCTACTCCTTGTCACGTACAACCAGGGATCCGAAACCAAGCCAGTTAACTCAATGACAGACCTAATGATACAGCACGCATGTGCTAACCATTCGGCCATCAAATCCCCCCACCTGGGTTAATGAAGATGGGCATACAGTGTGCTATGAGGGAAATTTTGCCCAAGCAGCGGTGATACAACCCACTCTTATATCAAATTTCAACTGCCAAAAGTTCTTTTACATATTATGTAAGATTTAGATAAAAAGCTGGCCGGTTTGGCTAAAATAAATGTAGATAAAATTTAATAATGAAAAATAAATATATTGAAAATTTCCAATCAAAGTACTAGTGTTTTTAATTTAAAAAGTACTAGTTTCTGAGCAACCAGATGAGTCTCGACAAGGTAGCCTTGATTGTCAAGTATCATTCCACTATGATAATAAACCAAGTCTCAATTATCCATTTCAACGTTAAATTGTTAAATTTAAAGCTCTAAGCCATTCTGTATCACAGCCATTGTATGGTCTAGGGGTAGTTGATTTTACAGTCTAGGGGGAGTTGATTGTATGGTCTAGGGGTAGTTGATTTTAGGTTAGTTATGTGAATGAATATTTAATTAATAATTTATATCACATTTGAAGCCAACAAAAAAGACATTAATCTTGCATCTTTAAATTGTTTAAAATGTACTGGGCTAACGAAACAAAACAGAATGAAATGAAATGGGGTTAACGTAATACTTTTCTGCTCCGACTGGGCTAATGAAGAAGAGAGAGAGAGAGAGAGAGAGAGAGAGAGAGAGAGAGAAATGGGGTTTAACGTCCACTCGACACAAACTAGGTCATTTTAGGACTAACACATGGTTCAATTTTATTTCAATAAATCGCTTGCGCATAGGGGTCTTTAGCAGTGGGAGGAAATCAGAGAAAACCCACGAGGTTGGACAGGCAACCCAACTCGTCACGTACAACTGGGGAATCAAACCACACCAGGTGACTCAATGACAGACCGTATGATACAGCGTGCACATGCTAACCATTCGGCTATCCAACCCCCCTGCTGTGATATGGCACAAAATAGCTTAGTGTTTGGCCGAAAAATAGGTTTCTGGTATTGAATAATGTGTGAGCCGATGGATTTCTTCTATTATGAACAAACTATTTAAAGATACATTAGGTAAAATTAGATAAAGAGATGGCAGTTCTCGCTATAATGGTTAAAAACTAGATAATATAAAGGGAATACGGTGAAAATTTCAGTCAAATTGCTTCACTCTAAGCTAAGAAAATCTCGTCATTGTAACTGCTGTCACAATAATTAACAATGTCTTGATTATCCATTTTTTTGTGGTTATTCATCAATGGGCATTGAGCAGCAGATTGGATTCAGACACATAAGATGGTATTGAGGCTTGATTATGGTCTTTTCATGGTCATAAATGTCTAATTAATACCTTAGATAACATTTCAGGCCTAAAAAAAGACCTGCAATAGGCAGATTTAGCTCTTGCATAATGTATGTTTAAAGTTACAATTTCATATTTTTAAGTTATATTTTTAAAATGTATTAAAATAAAGCCTTAAAATAGATGGTATCTATAAACAGTCCTACCTTGTTAAAGAATAATCCTATTAATCCTGTAATTCACTATTGCCAGTTGAGAAAGTGGCAAAAATATCATTTTCAACTTCAAATTCAAACGTTTGAAGATAGCTATTCCATATTGGAGAATAGGAAAACAAGGGAGGTAATTGGGAGGTAACTGTGTTATTATTTCCGGTGTGAAGATTTTTAAGTGTGAGAAAGATAACCTATGATCGTATAATAGTGAGTTGACAACCTATTGAGCAAAAGACATAGAAATAATTATGTTTTGACTTTCTTAGAAAATAGTCGAACCTCGTGGGTTTTCCCCGGGTCCTCTGGTTTCCTCCCACTGCTAAAGACCCCAACGCGCAAGCGAATTATGGAAATAAAATTAAACCATATGTTAGTCCCAAAATGACCTAGTTTGTGTCGAGTGGAGTAAATAATTAACCCCATGCCAGCCATCTCTCTCAATGGGTAAGATGCTGGTTTGCTAGCCTAGAGATCTCGGCGCTATTGCACTTTCGTACCTCTACCAGTTCCCGTGGTCGTAGGAACTTGAAATTATTAGAGGATGTTAAGGGGGACTAGCAATGACCACACACTAAATTTCAGCCGAATCGATCAATAACATTTTTATTTTACCGACCTTTTAATTTCTAACGAGAGAGAACTTCATCTGTTTGACGCCATTTGCTTTGTTTACTATTTAGACTCGAATAACAAGACACTAAGACGGAAACCGACACACTGCACTAGCTGCCTATCTCTGCAGTTCATAAAAATTAATATAATTTTCGTATACTTTAATTTTTGCGCGAAGCCACCATGTTCTATAAAATACTATTTGGTGTTGATCAGTGGATTGGCCTTTAGGTGTGAATATTGCCGTGACCTTGATTTTGACCTTGAGTCTTAACTTCCCATCCATATCAGGGCCTTTGCGTTTATGATTGCCGTGGCCTTATTTCTTACTGTATTTTCAAAGTTAATGTTCGAGGTGAAAGCAGAGACGACGTCCTTCGGAAAAGATGATTGGGTCAAAGTCGTAGGTCAAGGTCATGTTACAGAAAACTAAACTCAAACTTTTCAAAGTCATTTTTTGGACATTTGACCTTGACTTACGACCTTGACCCCGTAACCATTTTCGAAGGCTATCACCATGGCTTGAATCATGGACGCTTACCTTGGTTCTGTCACACACTGCTCGGTCAGAAAAGGGTCAAACGGAGAGGGGCCCGTGTCCGAAAGGAAGTCAATGGGCGTGGTCAATGTGAAAGGTCGTGGTGACCTCCACTAGTCACCGTTAACCATCCGTGATCTTGACCCTGACCTAGAGTCCGAACTTCCCATCCATCTCGGACCCTTTGCGTTTATGCGTGCCGTGACCTTATTTCATTTTTGGGACAGGGCCAGGGTAAAAGTCGATGGTTCAAGCCAAGATGATGGGCTTTGAAAATGGTTACGGGTCAAGCTCGTAAGTCAAGGTCAAATGTCCCAAAACTGACCTTGAAAAGTTTGAGTTCAGTTTTCTATAACATGACCTTGACCTACGAATTTGACCCAATTATCTTTTCTGAGGGACATTGTCTTTGATTTCACCTCAAGCATTAACTTTGATAATACAGTAAGAAATAGGGTCACGGCAAGCATAAACGAAAAGGGCCCGAGATTGATGGGAAGTTTGGACTCAAGGTCGAAGTCAAGGTCACGGATGGTTAAAGGTGACTAGTGGAGGTCACCACGAACTTTCACATTGACCACGCCCTTTGACGTTCTTTCGGACACGGGCCCCTCTGCGTTTGACCGTTTTCTGACCGAGCAGTGTGCGACAGGGCCAGGGTAAACGTCGATGGTTCAAGCCAAGATTATGGGCTTTGAAAATGGTTATGGGATCAAGGTCGTAAGTCAAGGTCAAATGTCCCAAAACTGACTTTGAAAAGTTTGAGTTCAGTTTTCTGTAACATGACCTTGACCTACGACTTTGACCCATTTATCTTTTCTGAAGGACGTTGTCTCTGCTTTCACCTCAAGCATTAACTTTGATAATACAGTAAGAAATAGGGTCACGGCAAGCATAAACGAAAAGGGCCCGAGATGGATGGGAAGTTTGGACTCAAGGTCGATGTCGAGGTCACGTATGGTTAAAGGTGACTAGTGGAGGTCACCACGAACTTTCACATTGACCACGCCCTTGACTTCCTTTCGGGCATGGGCCCCTCTGCGTTTGACCGTTTTCTGATCGAGCAGTGTGCGACAGGACCAAGGTAAACGCCCATGATTCAAGCCAAGTTGATAGCCTTCGAAAATGGTTACGAGGTCAAGGTCGTAAGTCAAGGTCAAATTTCCCAAAACTGACTTTGAAAGTTTGAGTTTAGTTTTCTGTAACATGACCTTGACCTACGACTTTGACCTTTTAACTTTTCTGAAGGACGTTGTCTCTGCTTTCACCTCAAGCATTAACTTTGATAATACAGTAAGAAATAGGGTCACGGCAAGCATAAACGAAAAGGGCCCGAGATGGATAGGAAGTTTGGACTCAAGGTCAAAGTCAAGGTCACAGATGGTTAAAGGTGACTAGTGGAGGTCACCACGACCTTTCACATTGACCACGCCCATTGACTTCCTTTCGGACACGGGCCCTTTGCGTTTGACCCTTTTCTGACCGAACAGTGTGCGACAGGACCAAAGTAAACGTCGATGGTTCAAGTCAAGGTGATAGCCTTCGAAAATGGTTACGAGGTCAAGGTCGTAAGTCAAGGTCAAATGTCCCAAAACTGACTTTGAAAGTTTGAGTTTAGTTTTCTGTAACAAGACCTTGACCTACGACTTTGACCTTTTAACTTTTCTGAAGGACGTTGTCTCTGCTTTCACCTCAAGCATTAACTTTGATAATACAGTAAGAAATAGGGTCACGGCAAGCATAAACGAAAAGGGGTCGAGATGGATAGGAAGTTTGGACTCAAGGTCAAAGTCAAGGTCACAGATGGTTAAAGGTGACTAGTGGAGGTCACCACGACCTTTCACAATGACCACGCCCATTGACTTCCTTTCGGACACGGGCCCTTTGCGTTTGACCCTTTTCTGACCGAACAGTGTGTGACAGGACCAAAGTAAACGTCGATGGTTCAAGTCAAGGTGATAGCCTTCGAAAATGGTTACGAGGTCAAGGTCGTAAGTCAAGGTCAAATGTCCCAAAACTGACTTTGAAAAGTCCGAGTTTAGTTTTCTGTAAGATGACCTTGACCTACGACTTTGACCCAACTATCTTTTCTGGAGGACGTCGTCTCTGCTTTCACCTCGAACATTAACTTTGATAATACAGTTAGAAATAAGGCCACGGCAAGCATAAACGCAAAGGGCCCGAGATGGATGGGACGTTTGGACTCAAGGTCAGAGTCAAGGTTACGGATGGTTAACGGTGACTAGTGGAGGTCACCACGACCTTTCACATTGACCACGCCCATTGACTTCCTTTCGGACACGGACCCTCTGCGTTTGACCGTTTTCTGACCGAGCAGTGTGCGATAGGACCAAGGTAAACGTTCATGATTCAAGCCAATGTGATAGCCTTCGAAAATGGTAACGGGGTCAAGGTCGTAAGTCAAGGTCAAATGTCCCAAAAATGACTTTGAAAAGTTTGAGTTTAGTTTTCTGTAACATGACCTTGACCTACGACTTTAACCCAAGTATCTTTTCTGAAGGACGTCATCTCTGCTTTCACCTCGAACATTAACTTTGATAATACAGTAGGAAATAAGGCCACGGCAAGCATAAACGCAAAGGCCCCGATATGGATGGGAAGTTTGGCCTCAAGGTCAAAATCAAGGTCACGGCAATATTCACACCTAAAGGCCAATCCACTGATCAACACCAAATAGTATTTTATAGAAAATGGTGGCTTCGCGCAAAAATTAAAGTATACGAAAATTATATTAATTTTTATGAACTGCAGTGTTAGGCAGCTAGTGCAGTGTGTCGGTTTCCGTCTAAGTGTCTTGTTATTCGAGTCGGTTTCCGTCTTAGTGTCTTGTTATTCAAGTCTAATTAGTAAACAAAGCAAATGGCGTCAAACGGATGAAGTTCTCTCTCGTTAGAAATTAAAAGGTCGGTAAAATAAAAAGTTATTTATGGATTCGGCTGAAATTTGGTGTGTGGTCATTGCTAGCCCCCCTTAACATCCTCTGAAAATTTCAAGTGCCTACGACCACGGGAACTGGTAGAGGTACGAAAGTGCAATAGCGCCGAGATCTCTCCTGGTATTGGCCGAAAATGTTCAAGATTTTCCAGCATGGTTTGCTCTTGTCAGGGCCTAACATGGACAGCTGTCTAGTCGTTCAGATAGGATAAAAAAAAACCGAGGTCCTGTGTACACATTGGAGTGCACGTAAAAGATCCCTTGGCAGTTGGAATTCAATATAAGAGTAGGCGGTAGTGCTGCTGTCTGGGCAAAATGTCTCTTATAGCTCACAGTATGGCGTATGCCCATCTTCATTAGCCCAGTCAGAGTAGGATGTTAAACCCCATTTCATTTCTCTATGAAATGATCTATCCCTGGAAATCATGTACTGTATCATCAACATTTGTGAGGAGTTCAATTTTTTAAGAGAGAACTAATTTTATAATCTTGAGACTATTTAATTATATACAACAGATTTTATTTAATAACTGGAGCCAGAGGTGATCTTGCATAAGTTATTAATAATAGTACATGGACATAAATTTAAGCCTGTTTATTTTTTTACGGTGGCTGAGACTGCCTTGTTCAGACAGTACATTTATTTCAATTATTACATCTTTTCAAATACAATTAATAATATTATATCAAAAATATCAACATATTCGATATTGATATTCATTCACTTTAATTTAATTAATATTTTTAGCCCAAGATTACAATAATTCTGGCCCTTAATCGTATAGTAAAACCTCTCCGAGTCTAGAAATTTCAACAGACATAATTGCCCAGAGAGATATTCTACCAAAAGCAGCTAGTGGTAATCATGCAAACATTCTCAATTATGGAAATAAATGAATAAAACTAACCAAAATATTCCGTTTTATGTTTATCAAAATGACAGCTTCAGCAGTCTCGGTTATCATTACAGATTTTCCTATTGACAGAATAAGACCAGACAAAAAGAGCCTATGATGAGTGACTCAAGGGAAATAACTCTAATTTCGATCAGGTCTCAGACTAGCAATTATTTGCCCATTGACTTCAATGTTAAATGACTGTAACATCACAAGCTGTATCTTTATAGGCACAATGGGGACCACATTTGGCAATCTCCTCATCATAATTTTGCAGGGGATTGACCATTTGGATTTTTTGCTACGGGGATTTGAAGTTGACTGTGGTGAAAATCTCACTTCCGACACAATGATTGCTCTGCTGAAAGATACTTTACACCCCCTATCCCTCCGCTGTAATATCATCAGTATATTCCAAAACTGCCATGAAATTGCAAATTTGATCCCTTTTCTCCAATTGTAGACCAAAAAGTCAACCCAAAAATGCAGGAAGCGGGGAGAAAAAAATTAAGAGAAAAATGCACTACATTTGTAATAATTACTAGTCTTACTCCATCAATAGACTTGAAAAGACGATTTATTTGTCAAATTAAATCAACATTCATATTGTGATCTTACCGGGAAAAGATGGGCTTTTGATATCCAATATTTAAGACAAAATAAACATTTTACCATTGGTACACGAATCGTGTACCATAATGCGCTTCAGCCCCAGTTGTATCAAGAGACTCGAGGTCCAAGGCTAGACACATTGCACCAAATCAAACGGCGTATATAGACTGGAATAACCAGACGCTAGAAATTTGCACTCGCTTGAGACTGCTGGCTTATTTCGCCGAACATAACTGATTTGAAATTGGAGTAAAAACGGAAACCATTGAATGTAAATCAGTTTATATACATTCATATTACAGTATCATAGGCGTTGCGGCCCACTTTTGTCAATTTCTAGGTCCCAAATGTTAGAGATTTAGCTCCTTTAATGTCTGACTGGTAAAAAATGTCTGGTTGAGAAATGATGAAAGATGGTCATCTCCTTCGCGAGTTCCCATGATCTCTTCAAATTTCTGTTTTTCTCTAACCTCTAAATGGAATAGCGTTTTAGTCTTTGGTAATTTTGAGACTAACAAGATATTTTTCATACAGGGGTTGGATGGCCGAATGGTTAGTGCTAAAGTTTGTCATTGAGTCAACTGGCATAGTTTCAACTCCCTGTTCAACCTTGTGGGATTCTCTGGGTCCTCTGGTTTCCTCCCACTGCTAAAGACCCGTACGCGCATTGAAATAAAATTCAACCATGTGTTACATGTAGTCTCAAAATGACCTAGTCTGTGTCAGTTAAACCCATCTCTCTCTCTCATACAGTGTGGGGAATCTTGTCTGGACAGTGGCATTTCCAACTACTCTTTATTGAATTTCAGCTATCACAAGTTCTTTTACATGCATGTGAAAAATGGTTAGCAAGTATGTATCCTAAGATCTGTCACTGAGTCACCTGGCGTGGTTTTGATTCCCCAGTTGTACGTGACAAGGAGTAGGGTCGCCTGTCCAACCTCATGGGTTTTCTCCGGGTCCTACGGTTTCCCCTCAGTGCTAGGGTTAAGGTTCTGTCTCTCTCACATACAGTATGGGGAATCTCGTCTGGAAAGTGGTATTATTGAATTTCAGCTGTCAAGGGTTCCTTTAAATGCATGTGAAAATGGTCTAAGTTTTCCGTTCATGACAATTTTAAATGTGAACCATGCTTGCAAACCTTGTAGGTACTTCATGGCTGACAATGGGATCTGAATTCAGAACATTCTGATTTGCAAGTACAGTGCCCCTACCAATGAGGCCCCATACACTGTTGAAAATAGTTCCCAAAGTCAAGGACTAAGTCATAGATAAAGCCCCATTTGTCCATAATACAAGCTGGGCAAGTGCATACTTTCAGTTTTTTTAAACAAGAAAGCCCAGGAATGATAGTTTTTACAAATTTTATTGGGTATTGAATCTAGTGTACCAATAAATTAAAATAATGAATAACATATTCAACTACAATACAAACTGAATAAATTCTACGTTAATGTATTGTTAATGTTAATCCAATAGTCATGCATTCATTGAAATATATAAGATTTTAAGTTTATTTCAATGGACACAGGCGTACATGTATCTTACTTGTGTTTTAGTTTTTATTTTGTTTATTTAATTTCTGTACCATATTTTGTAAAGCGCATGTGAAGCCGTGTGCTATAAAAATGTACAATAATATTAAACTACTTTCTTTCTCAATGTCTTGCTTTGAAGATTAATTTTAGATCCCATTTCTTGGTTTCATTGGCTAATCCCTCACGCCATCCAAAACGCAGGTTATATAACAACTCTTCCAGATCCTAGTGTAGTACAAACAAATAAAACGAAATTTTGAACAATAAAAAACGAAACGAAATTGGCTCTGTTTTAATCAGATTGGCTCAATAAGTGACTTGATCAACAGGTCTTTTAAAGCCAGAAACTCTAGCCCCACATGCTTAATCAACAGTAATATAAGGCAGATGAACATCTCTCTCTTTTCTGAAATCCATGACAACCGTTGACCTCTTGACCCCTAATTAACTCATTTAATGATTTATTTACATGAATTGTCATTCACAAAACTGTTCTAGCTCTGTATAAAATGTTTTGTTAAAAATAAAACTAGAACGTGACTGTATAATTTCTTTATGATTTCAAGGTTTCACGCTCCCGTCTCAATCTGTAATATTCATCTTCCTTCTCGTGTTGTTCTTTTAAGATTTGTGCTTCCAGCATTTTTTGACGCTCGGCCGATTTGTTCGGTCTAACATCTGTGAAATAAAATAAAAATTCATCAGTAGTGGAAGATGACCTCCACAGATTTGTGAAATGAAAGGAAATGGGGTTTAAGGTCCTACTGTTCTGCTCCGACTGGGCTAATGAAGACAGGTATACGTCATCCATTGCACTATGAGGGAAATTTTGAATGGACAGTGGTACTATGGCCTGCTCTTATATCGAATCCTAACTGCCCAGAGTTCTTTTCTAACTGAACACCAATGTGTACACAGGACCTTGCTTTTTTTGTCCCATCCGAACAACTAAACATTGTTCATTGCCAGGCCCTCAAGAACTTTCAAGTTGCAACCAGGCGTAAAAAGTTGTGAGTTTATAATTGGGAAAGTTTTTTTTAACGCATGACATTTTAGTCATGTTCTCTAACCCCACCCCACTTGGCATACCTCAGCAGATTCCAGTACCCTACATCTAGCCTCGGCTGTATGACGAAGTCCGCGATTGGAACTATTTTCAAGTTCCCCGATTACCAATGGCATTGCCCATGACGACACCTTTGAAGAATGTTTTATCATACAAATATTTCAAAGTCTGAAGATGTTTTTCTTTTAAGTTTATTCGATTTTCTTCAAACAAGGGTAAGTTTGCACTGAAAATTCTACACATGCCTCGAACGATGCAATTTTGATAACTTCTTTTAAATTCATTTTAAAAGCGGCAAGTTTTCCTAATAAGTAAACAGGTGCTGCATCGCAATTGTATAGGCCTAGGTACATATCACTTACCGTCATACAGCCGAGGCTAGATGTAGAGTAACAGAATTTGCCAAGGTTTGCATAGAACACCCCACCCCACCTCTAGCTGGGAAACCCTATTGTAAAAGTGCAGTACTTTACTTACATTAACATATTACATTTACTTACATGCATAATATGTGTAAATTTGATGACCAAGTAGAAGAATACTAAAACCAGTTAATCCCATTAATCCAGTGACAGTAACTCTATGTATCTTGTCATACAGTAAATGTTTATTGAACTTTCTCTTTACCACCATGATTATAATATCTAGAAAACACACAATATATATGGACATTAAACGTACATTATGCAAGAGCTAAATCGGCCTATTGCAGGTCTTTCTTTAGGCCTGAAATGTTATCTAAATTATTAATTAGACATTAATTAACTTATCCAGACCATAATCACCTCTCGATGTCATCGCTAGTCTGCAATGTTTATTGGATTAGGTTCCGATTTGCTGTTCTACTTCAATTCGTAATTTTATCATGAAATTGATATCAAGACTATGTTTTTTATCGTACTGACTTTAGTAAAGATGATCGAGGCTAGGCCGAAAATTCAATCGCTAAAATCTTGGTTCAGACTAGTTCAGAGTTGATCAATTTCAGTGAAATTTTCAGCAAATTCCCTTTACATTACCTAGTTTTTAACTATTATAGTGAGAACTGCCAGCCCTTTATCTAATCTCCCATAATGTATCTTTAATTAAGAAATCACACAAAATACATGTACAATAATAATGAAATGAAATGGGGTTTAAAGTTCTACTCCGACTGAGCTAATGAAGACAGGCATACGCCATACAGTTTGATATGGGGGAAATTTTGTCCAGACAGCTGCGCTACAGCTTACTCTTATATCGAATTCCAACAGCCAAGGGATGCTAGGGGATTAGGAAAAGCAGAAAAACATCTGAAAATGATGTTTTCACAATCTCAGGAAAATAAAGATTTGGGGCCTACAGTTGGATTTGTACGCTTCATGAGGCCTGTGGTTAGAACACCTGTGTCCTTGTTAGGGTCTAGAATCAAACCCTGTTGTGTCTTGTCAGTATTAGGCTAAAGAAAATGTGTCCAGTCTTTCAGATAGGGCAAAAAGGGCAATATGTTTTGCAGCATTAGCTGGTCCTAGACTCAAGACTCAAACACTGTTGTGCCTTCTCAGTATGAATGACTGAAGGGCTATCAAGGAAAATGTGTCCAGTCTTTCAGATAGGGCAAAAAGGACAATATGTGTTGCAGCATTAGCTGGTCCTAGACTAAAAAACGCAAACACTGTTGTGTCTTGTCAGTATGAATGACTGAAGGGCTATCAAAAGAAAATGTGTCATAAAGGATAATATGGTTTGCACCACCAGTTAGCTGTTTCAATGCCCTATATTACAAGTTCAACTAAGATTTGGCTACGCCATGCGATCATACATAATATTTCTTGCCAGCTGATGGAGATTCAGTGACCGAAGCTTGGCTACTTGATTAGAAACACACTAACAATCACAAATATATATACATGATTGTTTTTATTGTCTCAGTTTGTCCATAGCTTCATTTATGTAGCCTTTACCCCCCTGCACGAACAATCACAAAAATACACGACTGTTTTTATCATAGAAGTCTGCTACACTTGATCTGATATGTGCCGTTTGTTGTTTGTGGTGTGTGTCCGCAGGTTTGTCTTGTGTAATTCTCTCCCCCTGCACTATTACAAAAAAAACTAGATCAACTTGTAGATTTCGGTGCCTATATTATTTTTCACTTTGCCAAACTGAATCAAATAAATATTAAAAGCATGTCAATTAAAATATTAGTAATAATATATTACATAAACAAGTCACGCCGCGACCTTCTCCTTCCCAAAAAGTTTTCTCTTGATAATCAAGTCTACATTGACCGACAACGTGTTAGATTCGTATTAAAGAATTTATTTTCATTCATTTTACCCGATGAAATAATAATATTTATGGGATAACTTTTAGAAGTGTGGTGTTTTAAACGGTATTTATACTATAGTATTTGTCTAAATTTGGAATCGAAAGTTCAAATTAATACGAAACCTATGGCTTTTCTCTAAGGACGCCATTTATAAACAATATGGCGTCATTTTTTGTCGAATTTTGTAAATTATCTGAAACTTAATTGAAATTTTAATAAATTAACTCAAGAAAAGTGTTTAAAAAGATTGAACTGAAAACTGTATTTGTGTGATTGAAATTTGTGTGCTATTTTCATTTGAAAGGCAAGGTATATTGTTTAAACATATTTTACAAAATAAAAAATTGAATCTCAAGTCAACTCCAACCCATTATGATTATTGAACCAAGTCAAACAAATTATGTATGACCCCTTCTTTTTATGTCACAATGATGTCAACAAATGATCTTGCTCATACCCAAAAATTATAAGACATGTGTAGTCATTGGTCCACTGGGCCATCGCCTGTCCAACCTCGTGGGTTTTCTCCGGGTCATCCGGTTAAAAAATAAAATTAAACCATATGTTAGTCCCAGAATGACCTAGTTTGTGTCCAGTGGAGTTAACCTCTCTCTCTCTCTCTCTCTCTCTCTCTCTCTCTCTCTCTCTCTCTCTCTCTCTCTCTCTCATCATATAGTGAAGCTCTAGTGTAATTTTATATAAATCATTCAATATACAGGAATTTGAGCAGGAGAAGGTCCTGTCTGGGTGGAGACAGCATCATGTTTGGCGAGAGGACTGGGTGATTTCCCGAGAATTTGATTAAATCAGAAGCTCTGGGAGAATATTTCTGCACATTTATAAGGTGCACACATAGGATTATAATGTAGTGAGACCAAAATGGCTGCAATACAAATTGGGTGGGGATGGGCAGTTGCCCTAGACCCAATAAGCTTACCTATAAACTAGAGATTATAGGCCTTGGCTATAAATTATAAACTACATAGACAGAACATATTTTTCATGTGAGATGTCTGTGTATTATTTTAGTTAGTAACAATTGAAGATGGCCACCGGTTTTACGGTATCAAGTGGAATTAAAACCCAAAAGAAATTTTCAAATCATGAGACATCAGTGACTACATCAATTGATAAAAGGTTTGTTAATTTTCTTGTTTTGTATTGAATTATAATTTAATTGATTAATTTTTTTTTTGATATTTCCAAATTTTATTTTTTAAAGACGCATTATGCAATATTTAGATAAAGAGCTGACAGTTCTCGCTATAATACTTAAAAAATAGATAATGAAAATTTGTATCCATCGGTCTAGAGAGTTGATTATGGGATTGTCAAGTGAATAAATGTCTGATTGATAATTTATATAACACTTGGGGCCAAAAGAAAAACTTGCATTAGGCAGATTAAGCTCTCATAAAATGCATCTTTAAAATTGTAGCTAAACCAGCCTGGACAAAAGTTGTGAATATAAAATTACATTTTGAATGAATCAACCGTTTCTCTGCCTCTATTAATCCTTAAAATTTTATTTATACAAACAGCATATATGTTATGAATAATGTTTTTGAGATAATTGTGAATTTTCCTTGGTTTGTTTTTCAGACCTCCATCAGGTATTAGAGTTAAAAGGCAGTCAAGTTCAAGCAGTTTAGAAATATTAGAATCAAAAATAGGTAATTAACGATATCCAAACTTAATTCAAACTAAGAGAGGGAGAGAGAGGTTTTTATATCCTTTTGACACGAAATAGGTAATTTTGTGGCAAATATATGGTACATTTTATTACAATAATTTACTTACACACAGTGGGAGGAATACGAAAACCCCAGAGAAAACTCATGATGGTGGGCAGACTACCCTACACCTTGCCGCATATAAGATTGGGATCGAATCGAACCTATGCCACTTAACTCAATGACAGACTTTCTGGCCTAAAATGCATTCGTTAGACCACTGAGCCGCCCAACCCCACTGATTAAAACTAAGAGAAACTAACTATTACAGGGAATGTTTTAAGTTGGATTAAATCTTAAAGTTACAATTTCATATTTTTAAGTTATATTTTTAAAATGTATTAAAATAAAGCCCTAAAATAGATGGTATCCATAAACAGTCCTAGCTTGTTAAAGAATAATCCTATAATTCAATATTGCCAGTTGAGAAATTAGAATTTGTATTGCAGTGCAGGGGAGGTAACTCTTTTTATCATTCCTCAACTGCTTCATTTTGAACAAAGCACGAGGCAAGACTGCAGCAAAGAAAATGTTGTCAACACAAATAGTACAGGTTTTTTTTAAGATAAGAGTTGTCAACACCACCTTCCTTCCCCTCCTCCACCAGTTAGTTTTTACACATATAACGATTTTCAATTGTTTGTTTACTTTTCCTTGCTTTTTCTATAATTGTGGATTTTATACCTAGTTTTTATACCTTTAATTTATTCTCAATTGCCATTGCAATTTTGAATAAGGGTGAATTTTATAAGTATTAATTATGAACATGTTTTGGTTTTTATTTTTGGTGCCGTAGTAGATACCCCATCTTTTGCACAAGGGGACACTTAATGCATGTTTAAATTGTATTTGTGCTATATTGAACCATTTTGATATTAATATATTTTATGATTTAGTATGTTTCATTTCCATGTTGGAAAAATTGTGTTATTTATTTTGCCCAGTATTTGTTATTAGTCAATGATATGAGGCAAATAAATGACCATTTCAATTCAAACAAATGCTTTTTCGTATGTACAAAACATAGCCATTCCAGGGCACGGGGGATACAAATATCATTTTCAACTTCAAATTCAAACGTTTGGAGATAGCTATTCCATGGTGGGGAATAGGAAAACAAGGGAGGTAATTGGGAAGTAATTGTGTTATTATTTCCGGTGTGAAGATTTTTAAGTGTGTGAAAGATAACCTATGATCGTATAATAGTGAGTTGACAACCTATTGAGCAAAAGACATAGAAATAATTATGTTTTGACTTTCTTAGAAAATGTGAAATTGTAACTTTAAAGAAAAAACTGGAGCATGCTTTTTTAATTGTTTTTACTGTTTTCAGACAATACAGTGCCACTATCTCGAGAAAGTTCATCAAGTAGTCTATATCATGCAGGTTCTTCAAGGTATTCCTTTATTCAATGATAATATAATTATTTTTTTTATGTAAGTTTTTACCTCAATGGTACAAATACATATAACTGGCATTAAACAATTAATTATGGATAAATATTGTAATTTTAAGAACTGGCAAGGCAAATATTTTCCAACATAAGACAAAACACAAAATGTCAATCTAGAATATGCTCCTGTTTGTATTTTTATTGAAGTTTTGGGGTCTTGTATTTGAAAGATCTTTTCTCATTTCAGATCAAAAAAAGGCCAAGTACCACCACGACCCGATTCCAGTAGTAGTTTAGGACGAACAACACCCACAACAACAAAACAAATATCTCTACAAACGGTGAAGAGAATAGCTGACAGGTAAGCTGGCATTCAGGCCTTGAAGAAAGGGTTGAAATATCAGGCATTACCTAGGTAGACTCATGACATTAAATTTACGTAAACTTTACGTAAAAATTAAACTAATGGGTTTGAAATGTCTGGCACTACCCAGATAACTTCATGACAATCTATTTACGTAAACTTTTCGAAAAAATTAAGCTAGTAAATGAGAATTTGTATTTTTGTGAAGAGAATAACTGCATGTAAACTGACATTCAGGCCTTAAAATAAGGATTTTGAAATGTCAGACTTTACCCAGATAACATCATGACAATCTATTTACGTAAACTTTACGTAAAAATTAAACTAGTACCTGATAGTTTGCATTTTTGTGAAGAGAATAACTGACCAGTAAGATAAAATTCAGGCCTTGAAATAACGGTTTTGAAATGTCAGGGTCTTGAATTAGTACCTAGTACCTGATATTTTGAGTTTTGTGTCAGATATATATATATTAATATCAATAAAACATGGAATAAAACAAATTGACAGGCACCAACATGTTTTCCATGTAGTGCGATTCTCCTGCACTTACTATTAGGTAATCAAAATCAAAAAAGAAATGTCCATTAATGTCAATTAGCTACTTAATTATTTTACCTTAGTACAAAATTTAAAATTAGCTTTATTTAATTGAATCCCTCTCAGCACCAGTCTAATGGGCTAATACATCTAAAAAATCAGTTCTTAAACAACCCTCTTGTATCAGAAACATAGCTTCACATTTATACAATAATTTGATTATTTTACAGTGGTGATTGTAGTTTACTAGATCTGGATATAAATAATGAAGATATGTAAGTTCTCTAATTCTTTAGAAGTCTTGGATTTATATAACCTGCATTTGATATCCTTATGTTGCATCAATATGTTGTTGTTTGTATAAGCCAATATAGTAAAGATACATTATGTAAGATTTAGATAAAGAGCTGGCTTTCCTTGCCATTATAGTTAAAAAAAAAAATAGATAATGCAAAATGAATATATTGAAAATTTCATTCAGATTACTTCATTCAAAACACTGTAGTTTTGACAAGATGTGCGCATTGATTGTTTATTATTGTAACCAAGGTACTGGTATATTCTAGTCTTGGCCTCGCTTCTCCATTTTTTAAATTAAATCATTCAGATACCAAACCGTTCTAATCTATGGTCTTGTCATGTTAATAAATGTCTAATTAATAATTTATATAACATTTAAGGGCTAAAGAAAGACCTGCAGTGGTCAAATTTAGCTCTTGAATCATGTATTTTTAATGGAAGTTGATACAGGTTAATGGGTTTGTTGATTAATTACAGGGAGAAAAATTTAAACGAAAGATTAGAAAAATTGAGTTTAGGTGGAAGAAGCTCTAGGAACTTTTTAAGAAGTAATTCAAAATCAGGTTTGTGGAATATTTTTGAAAGATTATGATTATATGCATGTTTCTTATATTAACTAGATTGATTCTGAAATAAGAAATGACTTTGGGGGCTCTAATTTCGCCCATCATGATTATTGTAGGGGCTCAGGGAATATAATTCATGTGATATTATTTGTATTTTTTTCTAGTCATTTATTAAATGATCAATGACATCAAAATATTTACCATTCTTTGCTTTATTACTAGTGTGAGCCACGGTCGCATGTTTTCGATCCTGGTGTTGGCAGAGAAAGTTCCCCCTTTTCAGTTGTGTAGGATGGAGGGCCTGGCAAGGGACAACGTTTATTAGTTCAGATGGGACAAAAAACAGAGGTCCTGTCTGCACTTTGGCTTGCACATAAAAGATCAGATCTTTAAGATCCATTGGCAGTTGGAATTTGATATAAGAGTAGGCTGTAGCACGTCTGTCCCGGCAAAATTTCCCTCACATCATACTGTATGTTGTATACCTGTCTTCATTAGCTCAGATAGAGCAGAAAAGTAGGCCGTTAAACCTCATTTCAATTCACTTATTCCGGGTTTTAGAACTGAATCCACCTGAAGATTTATTGAATGGAAAGAAAGAAGCAGTAGAAAAGGAAGAAAGTAGCACAAGCAGTGAGTCAGAGGATGAAGACGAAGAAGAAAGAAAAGCACCAAATGAACTTTTTATGGAAGTTAGTAATTAATATCTTTTATTATTTGGAAAAATTCATTTGTTGTTTGATTCCATGATTGAAAGTTCCAAATTTATTTTATGGCCTTTCTCTGGTTTCTCTGATAAGTGATTGATCGTTCTTGCTATAATAGCTTAAAAAATAGATAATGAAAAGTAAATAATTGAAAAACTCATTCATTTATTATGAAAAGAAGTTTTAAATTGCTACTTTGATCGGGTTTCAGACAGCGAATTCAATTAAACTTACTTCCATTTTGGCTTGGTTGTTCATATAAGGTATCCCTCGAGTGGATGTTAAACCCCATTTCTCTCTCCCTACATTTCTTCCTGTCCGAAGGAATAGACAGTGTTCCTTGCCAGACCCTTTTGTACTGCACCACTGGTGAGATTTAACATCTTATATTTCTGAAACAGCCTGGGTAACGCTACCTCAAGTTTTTATCTCTCCTGAAGGAATAGACGGTGTATCTTGCGAAGCACTCTCTCATGCAGCGCTGACAAGAGGAAACCACCCCAGATAATGATGAAGAAATTTCTCGGCCAACACTGGGATCAATCCTGGGACCTCCTGATTAACGAGCCAGAGCCTTGTTCACTGCGCCACTGCAGCTGCCTATTGCTAGAATGACTCAGGTTTCAGTGGAGTAGACCTGTGTAAATATATCTATTGCTAGAATGACTCAGGTTTCAATGGAGTAGACCTGTATAAATACATTTATTGAAATTGAAATTAATTTTGTTGTTTTTTATTTTACAGTTTTTAACATGTGTAATGGATAAAGATTATACTACAGCACAGAAACTGTGTAAAATGAGTAGGTATATTTGATATAAACTCAAACTCTCTCAGTGAGTGAGTAGATTTTCCAGTTTGATTTTCCCTTGTCACTTGTCAGAAATACAGAGCTAGAGTAGCGCTGCTCTCCGGAAAAAATTCCCCTCACAGCACACTATATGGCGCAATCTCGTTTTCATTAGCCCAGTTGGGGCAAAGAAGTTGGATACTAAACCCCTGTTTTTTTCATTTGGTGTGATCATAAGGTCTGTCATGGACCGAAGTGACATGGTTTCGATTTCCAGCTTGTACGTAGGGTCTCCTGTCAAACCTTGTGGGGTTTTTCCAGATCCTATGGTTTCCTCCCACTGCTTAAGACCCTTTAGCGCAATTGAATTATCGAGATGAAATTAAACCATATGTTCGTCTCAAAATGACCTAGTTTGTGTCAAGTGGACATTAAACCCCATTTCTTTCTTTTCTATCTTTTCTCCCTGTGCTCATGCAATTTTGTAAACATACATTTTATCATACATTTAGGAGATAAACATGTTCCTATTTGGAATTTTGAGGTTGTGTATTTCAAGATTTAAACAGGATCAAATGATTAAAGCCTGAAATCGTGTATATGAATAATTTCAAACACAATTTCCAGCTGCAGCCTAATTTCACAATTGAAATATATTCACATGAAAGTTAGAATATTCTGTTTTTTTGCTCAAATTTACATCGAGTTTGTTTTACTTTATTTTCAGTTTTAATTTATGAACCAGAAAATGTTGAAGCAAAAAGTTTTCAGAAGCTGATAGATGAAAAGATTTTATTAGGTAAATTGTGACCGTTACACTAAATCACATTGTAAGGCTTGGATGGCAGAATGGTTAGCCTGTGCGCATTGTATCATAAGGTCTGTCATTGAGGCATCTGGTGTGGTTTCGATTCATACATTTCAAATGTTATTTCTAGTCAAAGTCTTTGCTTTAAAACTATCATAAGGATGGTGGATGACTGATGCATGTATTTTGCATCATAGAGTTGTCATCAATGCAAGTGTTGTGGATTTAATGCCATATTTGTATGGTACAACAGGAATACTTGGGTCATTCATCTGAATCATGATACAATTTTGTCTGATATCGTTCCAAACCTGGTACAAAAATTACTGTGCTAACCAGAACTAAAACTTTTGTAGATGGTATAACAGCGCTGAGATTGTATAAGACCTATAGACTCTTGTCTCAACAGCCAAAGGGGGTTGGATGGCCGAATGGTTAGCACGTGCGCGCTGTATCATAAGGTCTGTCATGAGTCAACTGGCGAGGTTACGATTCCCCTATGTATGTGACAAGGAGTAGGATCGCCTGTCCAACCGCGTGGGTTTCTCCGGGTCCTAAGGTTTTCTCCCACTGTTAAAAACCCCTACGCGCAAATGATTATTGAAATGAAATTGAACCATGTGTTAGTCCCGAAATGACCTAGTTTGTGTCAAGTGGATATTAAACCCCATTTCCCTCTCTCTCTCTCCCTCAACAGCCAACACAAGACCAAAATTTCTGAAATAAATGATTAACCCTTAATCAAAAAAATAGATACTAGCCGAAAAATCTGAAAATCAATCAGTCCAATGTAGGTAGGTTTCCCCTTAGTGGGGCAGGACAGAGGGCCTTACAAGGACAGTGTCTGTTTGTTCAAATTTACCAATTTACTAAAAGGGAGATAACTTATTAAAATAAACCATTAGAAATGAAATGAAATGAAATGAAATGGAGTTTAACGTCCTACTGTTCTGCTCCTAACCTGGGCTAATGAAGACGGGCATACGCCATACAGTGTGCTATGAGGGAAATTTTGCCCGGACAGCGGCACTACGGCCTACTCTTATATCGAATTCCAACTGCCAAGGGATCTTTTACGTGCACGCCAATGTGTACACGGGACCTCGGTTTTTCGTCCCATCCGAACGACTAGACAGCTTTCCTTGTCAGCCCCTCCGTCCTGCATCACTGACAAGGGAGAACCACGCCGGAAAATCTGGATGAACTTTCTCGGCCAATGCAGGGATCGAACACCCGACCTCCAGGCTAGAGAGCGTCTTACCCACTTAGCCACGTGATCCCCAAAAAACCATTAGAATACAAAAATGCAAATCAAATGTTTATGTTGTAACATTATGTCTAAATACCCTTTTAAACTATTAGCCGTCTTCATTAGCCCAGTTCGGAGCAGAACAGTAGGACGTTAAACCCCATTTCATTTCTTTTCATTTGAACTATTACAGATGACATATCTGATGCCAGTGATGATGATGGTGATGATAAGGAGTCTGGTAATGATTCAGACAGTGACGATTCAGATAGTGACGATTCAAGGTATTATTTTCCCTTATTTCACCCCCTTTATGTCAAGCTGGTCTGCAATATGTTAAATGATCATTGCAATATACTAGTGTCAAGGGTTGCATACACTCAACAGTAGTAGGCAAGGTAACATTAATCAGTTGGCAAGGTAACATACACAGCAAGGTAACATATACCCATCAATTGACAAGGTAATGTATGCTCATCAGCAAGATTTTCACGTTACCTTGACTCATTTTACCCCCCATTTTTTTTACGGTGATCATCTTTACCCCAATACTGACTATTCCTGAAATTTGATGAAAATCTGTAAAGAATATTTTTGAAGAACCCCTCAAACCCCATATTGTCGAAATAAAAGTAGACCGCAGTGTCAAAATTATCTTGATTAGTCCAGTCGGTTTCGAAAAGTAAGACATTAAACCCCCGGCCACGTTAATTCATTTCTAGATATTTATTTTATTATTTATTTGTAGTTGTGATGATTCCAGTGACTCTAGTGATGATGATAGTACCGTTCATACAACGGATTCTGGTGTTACATCGGCATCCATTTCAGATTAAACTCTAGTGATGATGATAGTAACATTCAAACAACAGATTCTAGTATCACATCGGCATCCGTTTCAGATTAAACTCAGTAGTTTATCAACATCCTGCAGTGTGTATACGACAGCCCCATAAGAAATGATGATTTCCGCAGGTGAATCCATGACATGCTGCTTTTTATTTCCATGGTAACCTCTCAACACTATGTTATACCATGCTGCATGTCATTTCCATGGTAACCTCCCAACACTATGTTATACTATGCTGCATGTCATTTCCATGGTAACCTCTCAACACTATGTTATACTATGCTGCGTGTCATTTCCTTGGTAACCTCTCAACACTATGTATGTTATGCCATGCTGCGTGTTATTTCCGTGGTAACCTATCAACACTATGTTATACCATGCTGCGTGTCATTTCCATGGTAACCTCTCAATACTACGTTATACCATGCTGTGTGGTAGTCTGGGATATCATCATGTGTTTTGGATTGTTGTGTAAAGAGTGAAGACTAGTCTCCATGGCAACAGAATATTTATTGTATTTAAACATTTGGACATCTTACTACTACTGTTGTCATTGTTGTTATTTTTACATAACAAAATGTATATGTGCTAGTAAAAATCGTAAGAACAGAGAACTTGAATGGAATTTTTATGAGAAATTCCAAAAATGTATATTAGAAATTGCAATAACAGTTTTAAAAAATGAATATGAATCAGTTTATATACTTGTACACCCATATTATGATGTACTTCTTATATCATTTCCGTCCGTTTTAGGTTCTAAAAAATAGAGATTTAGCTCCTTTAATAGAATTATTAACCAGTATTAAATTATTAGTTTGAAGTTTGAATAGAATTGTTAACCAGTGTTAATACTTATTAATTTAAAATAGAATTGTTAACCAGTCTTAATAATTATTAACTTTATTATTGTTAACCAGTGTACATAGTTACGATATTAAATTAGTATTGAAGTTGGAGTAGAATTGTTAACCATTATTAATAATTATTAAATTAAAATAGAATTGTTAAATTAATATATAATTTAAAGATGGAATAGAATCGTTAACCAGTATTAACAATTATTTATAGATGGAATTATTAACCAGTATTAATAATAGAATTATTAATACTGGTTAAATTATTAATTTGAAGTTGGAATAGAATTTTTAACCGGTGTTAATAATTATTACATTAAAATAGAATTGTTAACCAGTATTAATAATTATTACATTAAAATAGAATTGTTAACCAGTATTAACAATTATTACATTAAAATATAATTGTTAACCAGTATTAACAATTATTACATTAAAATAGAATTGTTAACCAGCATTAATAATTATTACATTAAAATAGAATTGTTAACCTGTGTTAATAATTATTATAAATTAAAATAGAATTTTAATATTTTGAACTGTGTGTTGTCTCTTCTAACATTTTATTTCATGATTACAATGACAAAATTCCTCTTCATCAAAATTAGTTGAAAACAGAGTATATTTTTTGATTTGATATATTTATTTTGAATATGTACATGTGTGTGTATATATATATATATATATATATATATGTTGCTATTAATAATATTTATTTTTAATATATTATATATATGAAGAGTCCAGGGGAAGAACGATCTAACTCACATTTTTGTCTTTTCGCATAAAAGGCAAAAAAGACTTTTGGACGAGAATGCTTGACGCGAACAGAACGACGAGTGGGTTTAATTACAACTTCAAAATGATGTTTAATACGAATCATATTTTCCAGTACAACAACCGACTTCCACTTTAAGATCAAATAAATACGATAGACTTGTATTTGTCCGGGAGTCCATTTCAGAAGGGCCATGGGTCGATGTGACTCTGATCGTTTTTACCTGAAAATGATTGTTCTACAGAAAGCTTATACAATCTGCTACTAGATGGCGCCATTAACTGGAGTTCGTTAAAAAGTGACTTAGATCTTTTTTCCCCGGGGCTCTTCATATGTTGCTGTTAATAATATTTATTTTGTAAATATAATGTACATAAATAAAATCATTTATGGTGTAATTTTTTATTTTCATGATTAATTTCTGGTTTCCCATGGTCAGTGGTGCATGGGGAAGAGCCTGACGCGGAATAGTGTCTAGTCGTTTCTATGGAACGAATAAGAACCAATGGCAGTATGAAATTGAGTAGGCCGTAGCGCAGCAGTCTGGACAAAAGTTCCATCATTGCACACTGCATGGTATGTGCTGGTCTTCATTAGCCCGATTGATGCAGAAATTTTATTATGATAGGGACTGACCTGGACTGTGTTAAACCATCTGGTCACCTAACCCCTCTAAAATTTTACGGGATATTTATTTACAGAAGAAGTGTGATCTTTAACTCTGAAACTATTCGCCAGGATGTGAAACTGGTCAACATTACAATCACAAGTATACAGGACGTCTGACCCTCAGTTGAAATGAAATGGTGTTTAAAGATACATTATGGGAGATTTTTATAGAGAGTTGGCCATTCTTGCTATAACAGTTCAAAAGTAGATGATGAAAGAAGAATATATTGAAAAATTCAGTCAAATTACTTTATTCTGAACATAGTTATCATCGTTGTAATATTTGCCTAGAAATGGTAGCGAAATGTGTCTTCACCTTCGCAGATCGTTTGATTGACAGGCGTTAACTCCACCTACATATCTCGATTATCAAGTAAAGTTTTCAATGGCATACGGAAACGCTTTACAGCGGCCTCGCTAAGTACACTCTATCATTTAGCCTCGATCTAACTGACGTATTTTCATCAGGTTACCCCTTATTTGATTTAACCAATTAGTGAAATCCTATTTAAATCCGAGCTGTAGCCGAGCCATCCGTGGGTCTACAGAGTTGATTTTGGTCTTGTTGTTTAAATAAAGATCTAATTTATAATTTCTATAACATCTGAAGCCTAAATTAAGACTTGCAATAATCAGATTTAGCTCTTGCATAATGCAGGTTTAACATCCTACTGTTCCTGGGCTTATGAAGACAGGCATACATGTAACACTTTGGTCCTGAAGACAATTGTTGCTTCACTCTTTCTATAGAGTTAAATCACACTTGTGAATGATATATTTATATATAAAAAACAGTGATATTTTGGTAAAATCCTAACCATTGTCAAAATATCCATCAAATTTTGTCTGTTTATTGACCTATGGTTAGTAGACCAAATAAGGTAATGTTCTACCCCATGGTTTTGGGGGAAATGGGGAGGTTTATTCCATACTTGGGATGGAAATCAACATCAAGACCAATCTAGCTAGGACGTGCAGAAAGGACGGTGTTGAACGAGACTGGTCAGAGCTCACCCAGGTATTCCGAACAGCTATTATTTATTGAGAATGAGGGACCTTCGAAGCCATTCCAGCTTAACAATAAAGTTGTAGGAACCATTTAACCTGTAGTGTTCTATATTACGATCACGAAGAAAACAAACACAACAAGGAAGTCTGATATTACTACATACAGTGTGCCACGAAGGAATTAATATATAAGTGTTAAGTCATGTGTTATTTTACATGCATGCCAACATGCACAGTGGGCTTTGATGGTATTTTCTTTTTTGTCCCATCCTGTATTCATTTGTTTTATTATCCTCCCTCCCTAAATATTTCAACATTTCATTTCAGTATTTATTCATAAAAGCAGAAATATAATATTGATATGTAATTGACTATTTTGCCGTTGGCAATTTCGAAGAATGCAGCCCCTGAATCGGGCCTAGATTTCATCTGGTGTTGGTCACATTTTGGGATAGAGTGCCTCATATTAGTTTACATATCGAGGGTTTAGAACATAATTGTGATAAGTCACAATGCTTGATATATTGACTTATCACAATTATGTTCTAAACCCTCGATATATAGCCTGGATATCCTTGTCTACTATTCAAGCCCAGTGTTGCACTAAATACGCCTGGTTATTCGGGCGATATTTGATATCTCGAGTTCGAAATGAAAGGCAGGATAGATTGGGGGGGAGGGAAGAAAAAAAATAATAATTGCTGACAAATAGATGATATAATAATATATTTAAAATATCTAAAACATTATCTTGCTTTTATAGTACCATGTTAAATCCATAAATTTTGTCTGTACACTAAACAACAAAACAGATTCTAGATTACAACAAAATAAAAACATTGAAACTATTTAATTATTTTTTACGTTTTTACTAAACCACATCTACGTACGCAGGATTATTTTATTTCTTATAAACAGATTAATAATCTGACTACAATAATTAACAATGTATAAGTCATTATATGATATATAATATGATATTCTGTTACACATAATAGACGTCTATAGACTCAAGATGTACGGTGATGTCTAGTTCAGCTCTGAACGTAGGTGTCATTACACTCATGCTGTACAGGTTGAGTGTAATGGCATCTATGTTCAGAACTGAACTAGGTGATGACTAGCAAAAAGCTTGGTATACAACAAGACCGGATAATGTGCTCTACACAGTCAATCTTTCACTGTGAACTAGGTATCATTTAATATTGGGTATTTCGTCCTAATTTCTTTCATGTTCATTCAATATCAAATCTTTGAGAATTCCTAAAAATTGTCTAAAATCACCTAAAATCATCTTTATTATGTCCAGTTTAATAGCATTTCATTTTGGGTGATTTTAGACAATTTTTGTGAATTTTCAAACAAAGATTTGATAATGAACGAATGTAAAATAAAATAGGGCTAATATTAAATGGTACACAGCTTATAGTGTTTGTTCCTATGTCACTGCCCCTATTACTGTATACAGGACTCTGTTCCTATGTCACAGCCCCTATCATGTATACAGGTCAGAACGGAATAACGTCAAAGCATGTCTGATCTATATAGGCAGGTTATCCAGTCCAGATATAAGGCCTGTATTAAACAGATCACCATGAATATATTTATACGTAGACCTCAAAACTCAACTCGACTACAAGAAATATAAACTATAACATTTACTTATGGAAGAACAATTTATTTTGGTGACGTGTCGAAGAGTTTTCCATAAGTATGCATTATAGTTTATTGCTCTATCCAGTTATTAAATGCCATTAACAGATTATCAGTAATATGTCTATGTACCTACATCATTAGAATGGTCTAACTGGATTCAATCATTAAAGTGTTTTAAAAATAAATTTGAGACAAGTATAGAAACAGATTTAACATCCAATCATTTAGACTAACATATGGCATATTTTGATAACTTGTTTGTTTACAGGGGTCTACCAGAAGTACTTCAAGCGAGAAAACTTCTTTTTTTAAAACTAGAGTTGAGTAAAAAGGTCAACATATGGTCACCTTCGATCAGTGTGGGGCCATCCCAACCGTGACTGGTGATGTGGTCCACAAAATCAATAGTAATCCGTTTAATATGAGCGCTATACAAACCAAATGACACAGAGTGTAGCTATTGAAATGAGAGAAGATTTTTAAAACTTCAAATCGTGAAAAACGCTGATCTAATTTATTATGGATTACAGAATCTAAATTCCAGTAAACGGAAGACTTCACTTTCAAAATTTATGTCCCCATTTTAATAGAACGAGCGAGCGCATGTGTTGTATGAATTATAATAGACATTAAATGATTGGTTAATGTAGATTTAGTCACATGATTAATTAGCGATAGGGTATGAGATTCATTAAATATCACAACAATATTTCACAAACATAACTTCCACTCACGTATCATTCATCATTTTATATATAGAATAACTTCTCTTTAAATATTACGTCTAGAAATCATTTTAATTCATTTATAGAATAACTTCTCTTTAATTATTACGTCTAGAATTCATTTTAAATCATTTATACATGATGATCTAGCTTCTAAAGCCATGGAACCGTTTTTTTTAAAAGATTTCATCTACAATTCATTTTAGTAACTAGATATATGTTGAT